GGATTAAAAGTGTGCAGCAACACGTCCAGTTGTAAATCTCTTTTTTAATGCATGCATTGTATATTACGTGCTAGAATCAAATGCCTAAATAAATTGGGATCTTACTAATACAGCCAGGGCAACACTGGAAAGACATCAGATTCCACATAGAAAAGATTTTGGCAGATCATGAAAACATGGGCATGTTGCTGATCTTTCAGTTCCTGGACAATCATAACAAAATTGTTATCCTTTATTTTCATCTAGGGCAATTTCTTGAAAGGCATCCAAAGGAAATTGATAACAACAGCTATTATTAATATATACCAAATGAGGTATAAGCACCAAAGTAAGGCCGCATATTTATGTTCAACAAGAAGCTCACATACTTAACTTTGTGGGAAGAAATAGCCTCCTCACAAGCCTGGGCTCAGTACTGTTACCTAATGTGCCAGGCTGAAAAGGGGTTTTACAACTTGGTCAGACAAAGAAGCAATGTACTGAGGAAATTCTATACCAATAAGTGAGCATTTGAACCTTAAGGAGGACAACCATTATGTATTAGCACTTTTTTTTTTAAATGGGTTTCCTCTAAAACTGTGATTTGTGCCATCAAAGTATGGTACAAACCTAAATTTCAGCAGATGGTCCAGTAACAGACACTAATCTTAGTGATTAGATCATAACAGTAGATTATAAGTAGTAAGATGATTAGAACTTTTCTACTTATGTGTCTAGGAATATGTTTTGGGTTTGCATAGTCATTTAGGGGATTATAGAGAAATGGTTCTCCATGGAAGGTCATATTTCTAGCTTTTTAAAAAGATGTTATTTTCCAGAGAATTCAGTTTTTCAGCTCTTTTAGTTACAGCTTTTTCAATTAGACTGATACAGTTTGGGTCAACATAGTCTTTTATGAAGTATTCCAACAACCTTAATGTACGTGTCAGGCTGTTAGGCTTAAATTTTGGTCCTCCATTGTGCAAGAATAGTTTATCAGGATTCATTTACTATAACAAAAAAGTGGCATGTCAGTCTAAGTTTTCTTCTTGCCTTGAAGAGAACATCTTCTGTTGTGAAATTAAGTGAGCTTAATTCACCTTTCAAGAATTTCCCAGCCAGGCATAGTGGCACACACTTTTAATCCTGGCACTTGGGAGGCAGAGGCAGGTGGGTCTTGGAGTTCAAAACTAGCCTGATCTACAGAGTGAGTTCCATGCCAGCTAGGGCTACATAGAGAGCAGGCCTGTGTAGCCCTTTTTTCCCCTGTCTGAAGGGGAAAAAGGAAGAATTTCCTCTGTTCTTTCATGACCTTCTCATTGCTTATTTCTTTCAGAAGTAAGTGTTTATTTTTATTTTGTGTGTATGAGTGTTTGCCTACATGTATGTATATATGTGTGCCTGATACTCAGGTCAGAAGAGGTGATGGAATTCTCTGGAACTGGAGTTACAGTTGGTTGTGAGCCACCATACCATGTATGTGCTGGGAACTGAACCTAAGTACTTGGCAAAAACAGCAAGTACTCTTAATTGCTGAGCCATCTCTCCAGCCCCTCATCCATATTTTTAAAAAAAATGTGATACTATTTAATACTTGGTCCTGCAATGCTTGACTCTCCTGATACCTTCCTGTTTGCCACATTGCTATTATTTGAGTGATCGAAGGACTAAGGTGGTAATTGCTGGGTCTTTATGTTATAAAGTTGCGTTTTTTTTCTTTTGTGATTACTTAGAAATGTGTATCTGAGAGAATATATCATTATTTAGCTCATCTTGCCTCACTTACTTTTCATCTTATTTGGTCATTTGTTCAGTATGACTTGATACTTTCCATATATATATATTTATATTTGCACATAAAGTTATGTTTAGTATAACCAAAACTGGTAAACTGTTATTACGGATAAACTTCAGTATCAGGAGATAGCTAAAAGCAGAGCTGGGGTGAGGAGGTTACATACAGCACATGATAATATAACGGGAAGCATTTTTTTTTTCCACAGGATTTTGTGATAGCTTATGTATGCTTTTCTTTCCGTGTGTGTGTGTGTGTGTGTGTGTGTGTGTGTGTGTGTGTGTGTGTGTGTGTGTGTGTCTGTTTCTGTATGTCTGCCTGCCTGCTTACCTGTCTGTCTGCAGACACCAGAAGAGTGCACTGAATCCCTGGAGCTGGAGTTATAGGAAGTTGTGAGCTGTCTGACATGGGTGCTAGGAACTGGACTCCAGTCTACTGGAGAAATAGCAAGCACCCAACAACTGAGCCATATCCCCAACTCTGTATCTGCCAAGAAAGAAAGGGAGGGAGGGGGAGAGAGGAAGAGAGAGAGAGGGGGGTTTTTTTTGAGTAGACAAATCTGTAAAACATAAAGCTCTGGAGTTAAAAGCTTCTCTTTTTTGGGACAGGGTTTCTCTGTGTAGCCCTGGCTATCCTGGAACTAGCTCTATAGACCAGGCTGACCATGAACTCAGAGATATGATGTGCCTCCCGGGTGCTGGGACTAAAGGCATGTGCCACCACCATCTGGCCTACAACTTCTTTTTTTTTTTTTTTTTTAATTTTTTCCTTTTAGGATATCATACATTTCTTTCCAAATCATAAAATAATATCTGATTAATTTTTATTAACTGCATAATCTGTTTATGTACTTCAGTGGATATTTCTGAGTCTTACCATTATAAATAATCTTACAGTATTGTTTATGTATATGTTTTTTTTAAAGATTTATTTATTTATTATGTATACAGTGTTCTGTCTGCACATATCCCTGCAGGCCAGAAGAGGGCGCCAGATCTCATTACAGATGGTTGTGAGCCACCATGTGGTTGCTGGGAATTGAACTCAGGACCTTTGGAAGAGCAAGCAGTGCTCTTAACCTCTGAGCCATCTCTCCAGCCCTGTTTATGTATATTTTTAAAAGTAGAATTTTTCCTTCTATAAATCCTCAAATGTATATTTCAGTTTTATTTTAAACTGTGAGATAATTTTTTGACAAAGTTTATCATAGTTCCATACCCACTCACACTGGTGAAGAATAAATTTTTTGTTTATAGTCCTTGAATGTTTTAAAACCTAAAAGGAACCTGAAAATCTGTTTAGCTATAGCTGATGATCAGGCCTCTCATTATATAATATAACTTTAAAGAATCGTTGGTTCATATAAATTGTGTCTTGCCTCAGCTCATACAACTTTATGGGAAGTCCACAAGGAGAACTCAAGGCAAAGCCACCCTGGCATGGTCAGCTTCTCTCTTTCCATATCACATTGTGTGTTAGTGTAGCTGGTGCTAGTCAAAGTCAGACATGGTGGCACACACCTGTAACCCTAATACTTGGAAGGCTGAAGTGGGAAGAATAAGAGCTTTAGGCTAGCCTGGGCTACACAGCTAGGTTCTGTCTAAATAAATAAAAAGTAAATAAAGCTATGTTATTCTGAATATGTACACCAGCTGATCCTAGTATTTGAAAATGGATACTAAGGTTAGAAAATGTTTGCATGGGTTCTAGGCTTTATTTCATTTCCATGTATGGAAGGTAAAGTAGCTCTACTAGAGCACAATTGTGAGTTTGGGATGCCTGTGTTTCTCTTATTTGTTTCTTTGTTAGTTTTTACAGTTGTCATAAAATAATTATTTCAGAATATAAAGTAAATGCTAAATTAAAATGTATGATGTTATCAACATATTTATAGTTTAAAACAGAAGAACACTGATATGGGTTGTATGGGCAAGCTGGGACAAATCAGCTAACATATGAAACTCCAATGCATAATATAAATCATTTAAGATTTCTGCATTGGACAAATACATACTGCCTTTCTCTCTCCCTCTTTTTTCCTTTACCCTTCTCTCCCTTTCCCTTCTCCTGTGCCCTTCTTCTTTTTCTCTCTTTCTTTTGAGACAGTCTTAAAGCAGTTCACAGACCAGCCTAGAATATGTTGTGTAGCCCAGACTGTCCTCAATATGTCTGTAGCTGAAGTTTTTCTGTGTCCTGCCTGGCCCGTGGTCGGGGAGAAATCTTTCCCACTCGAGTCCCCCAAGTAAACACACAGAAGCTTATATTAATTAAAACTGCTTGGCCATTAGCTCAGGCTACCACTGACTAGCTCTTACACTTAAACTCAGCCCATTTCTGTTAATCTATATGTTGCCACGTTTTCCATGGCTTTACTTGTGTGCCATTACATGCTGCTCCCTGGCTGGCTGGCTGGCTGGCATCTCCTCCTCAGCCTTCCTTTTCCCAGAATTCTTGTCTGTTTATCCCACCTATACTTCCTACTTGGCTACTGGCCAATCAGTATTTTACTTATCAACCAATCAGAGCCACATATATTCACAGCATACAGAAAGACATTCCCATCATATGTCTGTATTTTAAGTATGTTGGGCTGGAGAGATGGCTCAGCAGTTAAGAGCACTGACTGTTCTTCCAGAGAGAGGTCCTGAGTTCAATCCCAGCAACCACATGGTGGCTCACAACCATCTGTAATGAGATCTGGCACCCTTTTATGGCCTGCAGACATACATGCTGACAGAATACTGTATATATAATAAATAAATAAATCTTTAAAAAAAAAAAGAAAACACCTTGAGCATTCTTGGTGATAATAAAGTTTATTTGCTAAAAAACCACTGTACTAAGAGACTATGTCATTTCTTTTTTTTTTTTTTTTTTTTTTTTTTTTTTTTTTTTTTTTTTTTTTTTTTGGTTTTTCGAGACAGGGTTTCTCTGTGTAGCTTTGCGCCTTTCCTGGTACTCGCTTTGGAGACCAGGCTGGCCTCGAACTCACAGAGATCCGCCTGGCTCTGCCTCCCGAGTGCTGGGATTAAAGGCGTGCGCCACCACCGCCCGGCTTGACTATGTCATTTCTTACACCTTTTTCTAGAATAAATTAACAGAAATAATAATAGATGGAATTTGGCCAGTCATCAACATTTATTTAGAATCTGTTTATTTACTGGGTTTATTTAGTCTTTTCTGATGTTTCTCCTCTTCTTCTGTGTTCTTCTCCCTTTTTGTCTAGGTCCTGGGAGGAATGGAGAGGGGTCCTGTTGACTGCCTTTTCTGAAAGGGGTCAGAGAGTTCTTAAACAGGTCTGTCGATTCTGCAGCATACAAATAAAAGTTGGTGTTTTTGAGAGACTTAGTTTCAACTAGAAGGACTGAATTAGAAATAAACTTCTTGTAATTTTTTTTTGGCAGTACTGGAATTGAACCTAGTACCTCATATGTGTTAGGCAAGCACTAAACCACTGTGCTATCCCTGAGTCCATAAACTTTACTTAAAAATTTTAAACATTTATGATATGTGTATGTGTGTGGACATGTGAGTGCCATGGTGTGTGTATGGAGGCTGGAGGAGGGAGTTAGTACTCTTCTACTATCTGAGGAGATTGAACTCAGGTCATCAGGCTTGGCAGCAAGTGCCCTTACCTGCTATGTCCTCTCACTGGCCAAGCTTTTACTTTAAAAGAAGTTATTTTGAGCTCATTTTACAACAAGATATTTTGCTTTGGCAAGCTGCATTTGGCATGAAGGTTAGCTAATGATCTGTTTGATAGAAAAGCATTTGGCCATGTAGGGGGTCAGCCTGTAATACCAGCACTTGGCTGAGGCAGGAGGATCATGAGCCTGGGCACATATTGAGTCCAGAGCCAGTCTATACTACATAGGAAGACTCTGTCACAGAAATATCACCACCATGAGTCATGTCTTTATCAGTTGTGTCAAATATATGAAATATGGATGAATTTTTTATTGCTTCCATAGGAGGAACCAAAAATAGATGAAGGGTTGAATTTCTCAGCTGTTTATGGTTTTGGAAGGGAATAGAAGCATAGATAAAACCTCCAAAGTAAATTATTTATTTGACCCTTTCTGGTGTTCTTAGAATTCCCAACAACAGGCTGCCTTACAGATCTCAGAAGGTCTGGTGTCTTCATCACCAATCAGCTTTATCATTATGCAGATACAAACTCAACTTGTCTCTACATTGGAATCACCTGGTATTCTTGAATTTTTTTTTTGGTTTTTCGAGACAGGGTTTCCCTGTGTAGCTTTGCGCCTTTCCTGGGACTCACTTGGTAGCCCGGGCTGGCCTTGAACTCACGGAGATCCGCCTGGCTCTGCCTCCCGAGTGCTGGGATTAAAGGCGTGCGCCACCACCGCCCAGCTATTCTTGAATTTTTAATCATTGCCTGTGCCCATTTTTAGACACAGTAATTGGTTCAAATTGTTGATCTTTTTATTTTATATGTAATTACATGTACATATAATTTACATGCCTACACATACCTCCCTTCAACCCCACCCTACCCCTGTCATTTGCTTTTTCTTTTGTTGTGGTGCTGGGGTTTGAAGACAAGGCTGTGCTTATGCTGGGTAAGAGAGCTCCCCTCCGCCTGAGATCCGCTTTTCCGTTGGTGATAATGATAGCAGGTCGGGTTTTCCCTCTTCTGTTGTCATTTGTTTTGATGTCCCACCCCACCCCCCACACACTTTTCTTTCTTGCAGAATTTAATTTTTTTGTTTTGTTTTTTGTTTTTTTGAGACGAGATCTTACTATGTAGCCTTGGCTGTCCTGGAACTAGAACTAGCTATGTAGATCAGGCTGGCCTTGAACTCACAGATGTCCATTTGCCTTTCCCTCCCAAGTGCTGGAATTAAAGGTATCTGCTACCATGACCAGCTATTTGTTTGTATTTGAGCAGTCTTACAGGGCTTTAGATTTTGAGTCATTAAAAAACAAACAAACAAAAACAAAAACTTTCCCACTTGAAGGTTACAAATATTTGTTCTGTGCTTCTATAATATTAAAATGTAGAGATTCATCTATTATATTTGAAGTTTTTGGTCTGTTTGGAATTATCTTATTGTGTAGCAGGAGAAATAGATCTAATTTTATTATTATTCTAGATGACTACCTTGTTCCAGTATCATATAAGGAAAAGAAATCATTTTTCTTCACCTTTATGAGATATTAAAATTCCGAAATTCAATTACTCTCCCATCCATTTATATAAATTTTCATAGTAGTTTTAACTATTGAGAATATAATGTGTGTGTCAGTATTTGTTAATGTGTGTATTACATGTGTATTGTATATGCATGTGGAAGGTAGAGCACAGAACCATTCTCTCCTAGAAGTCAGAGAGGACTTTGCATGTCCTGCTCTGTCACTCTCCACCTCATTCCTTTGAGAAAAAGTCTCTCAGACCCTGGAGCTTGACTGGTGGCCAGCAAGCCACAGTGATCCTCCTGTGTCCACCCTGCAGTGCTAGCGTTAGAGGTGCACATATGGCCATGCCCAGCTTTTTATGTGGGTGCTAGGGATTTGGATTCCAATTGTCATGCTTGCATAGCTGTAGCTGAAGTTTGTCCAGTCCTGCCTGGCCCACGGTCAGGACAAACCTCTCTCACCTGCCAGTCCCACAGCTGCTCAGACCCAACCGAGTAAACACACAGAGACTTACATTGCTTACAAACTGTATGGCCGTGGCAGGCTTCTTGTTATCTACTTCTTCTATCTTAAATGAACCCATTTCTATTAACCTATACTTTGCCACGTGGCTTGTGGCTTACCGGAACTCGTGGGAGTGGCTGGTAGCGTCTCCTTCCTCAGCCTTCCTGTTCCCAGAATTCTCTGCTTGTCCTGCCTATACTTCCTGCCTGGCTACTGGCCCATCAGCATTTTATTTATGCAGAGTGATGTCCACAGCACACAGCAACCACTCTCACCCACTCAGCCATTTCCCCAGCTTCTGATAACATGTTTTTATTTCGTAGGACTTAATCCCTTTCTCTAATCTGATTTTTCAGAGTTTTCCTACAAGCCTTATAGTCAGATTGTCTTATTAAATTGTAAATTAGGGAGAACTGACACATGTGAATCTTTACCCATGAGGGTATTATTTTATCCATGACTTTAAAATATGTTGTCCTTCATAAGTATTTTAAAAATTGTTTTATGAATACAAATATTTTGCCTGCAAGTATTTTATGTATGTAGGTATACCATGTATGTGCCTGGTGCCCAGAGAAGTCAGAAGAGGGCTTCAGATCCCCTGGAACTAGAGTTGTGGATGGCTGCAAGCCACCATGTGAGTGCTTGGAATCAAACCCAAGACCCCTGCAAGAGCCACGGGTGCTCTTACCAATGAGCTGTCTCTCAAAACCCCTTTATAAGTACTTTTAGGTTTTCTTTTTATATCTTGACCTTTCTCTTTAGTTAATTCTTAAAGATTTTAACTTTCTTGTCACTATTAAAAATGAGATCTTACCCCACGTGTTGATGATTACATAGGTAATAAATGCTGTTTTTTCTGTATATTAATTTTGCACTATGCTGCTTTGCAAAATTTTATTATCTGTCCTTTGCTTGGCTTTCAAGAATACAAGTCTGTTGTTTTCATTAATTTTACATTCTTTCTGATTTTTTTTTACCTTTGTTTTTCTTGCTTCATTTTACTGACTTTTATGCATCTGTGCTCCTGACTTCACTGATAGACCCTATTCTCCTCCTTGAAGCTGCTGCTGACTCGTACTTGTTTTCTGTGTGGTGTATCACAAGTACTCTCCGAGTTCCACACTAGCCCTCACTTTTGTGCTGAGAAAATAGAATCTGTCATGTTAAGAGAGCATTTGTTTTTTGTTTTATTTTGTTTTGTTTTCGAGACAGGGTTTCTATGTGTAGCCCTGGCTGTCCTGGAAATTGCTCTGTAGACCAGGGTGGCCTCAAACTCAGAGATCCACCTGCCTCTGCCTACCTAGTGCTGGGATTAAAGGTGTGTGCCACCACTGCCTAGCTATTTGTATATATTTTTTGAAATTTAGAAAAATTATCGTCAAGAATGAATGGTTAAGTCAGCCAGATGAGGTAGACTATAATCCAGATATACTGGAGGCTTCAGCAACAGAATCAAGACTTCAAGGTCAGCCTGAGTTACACATTGCTAGCCCAGCCTAGCATACCTTTAATCCCAGCACTCAGGAAGTAGAGGCAGGTGGATCTGTTTGTATTAGGCCAGGCTGTGGTATACATAGTGAGTTCCAGGCCAACCAAGGCTACATAGTGAGACCCTATCTCTAAATAAGTAAATAAATTGCCACCTTAATAGTTAGTGCCTGTCTCAAGAAGGGAAGGAAGGAAGGAAGGGAGGAAGAGAGGAAGGAACGAAGGAAGGAAGGAAGGAAGGAAGGAAGGAAGGAAGGAAGGAAGGAAGGAAGGAAGGGAGGGAGGAAGGGAGGGAGGGGAGGACTAGGGAAATAGCTTAGTGGCAAAATAAAATGCATGTATTAAACCTTGCATTCAGTACCTAGTACTGGGGACAAGTAGTAAGTTACATCAGTGGAGATGACCACATAACATCTTCCCTCAGTTTCCTGATACCAAGTTGGCTTTGAATTCCAGTAACAAACTTCACTTGGTTATGATGCATCATTATTCTTTTAAAGTACTATCAGAGTCTATTTAGAATTGACTTAGAATCTCACACACTGGTGTAAGACCAAACAATGTAAGGAAGATTGATCTGTAGCTTTCTGCCTACGAATTGTGTTGGCTTTGAGAATTTATATTAACTTCATAAAATGAATTGAGAGGCTGGCAAGATTAGTTATTCAATAAAGGTGCTTGCTGCCAAGCCTGATTACCTGCATTCAGTCACTGGAACCCACAAAGAAGTGGAAGGAGAGAACTGACTTGGAAGTTGTCCTCTGATCTCCATGTGAGTGCTGTGGCAGGAGTATGCCCACATACATGCAAAATAAAATAAGTGTAATTTTAAAAAGAAAGGTTTTACTGTATACTGTGTGCTCTGGAACAACTTCAGGCCATTAGACTTCTGTGCTCTTTAAAGAATTGCTTTGTTTTTCATTAAGTTTGTATACGGTGCTTAGGGGTGAATGGGCCCCTGCAGGTGCTCATGATGGGAAACTGAACTGTGAAGAGGTGAGAATGAAAAATCCAGTTCAGATTGATTTCATCTACCTGGATCAAGACTTCGGGGAGTCTGATGCCAGGTTGAACCATGATCCTAATTAGTCTTATCAATAAAAACCAGGAGTCAAATATCGGGGTAATAACCTGAAAGAAGAGAAACAAAGGAGCAGCCACTAGTGACTTCTTACCTCTTCAAATCCTCAGACTGAAAGGGGGCCGAGATCCTGTCTCCACTCAACTCATATTCCTGTCTCCACCTCCTGCTTGTGCTGGGATTAAAGGTGTGAGCCTCCCAAGTACTGGGATTAAAGCTGTGAGCCACCACCCCCTGGCCTCAAAGGTTACCTAGTGGCTGGCTTGGCCCTCTGATCTCCAGGCAAGCTTTATTTGTCAGAAAACAAAGTATCATACAACACCAGGTAGTTTATTCCCAACAAATTTAAATAGAGTATAATTTGGAGGAAAGTTTCCTGGTGTAATACAATCAATCCCTGGCGCACAAGGAAGCATAATTACATCGAAACTCAACTCTGGGTACATGTCATTTCTTCCAAGAAGATGGGTTCTAGAGATAGGCTACCTGTCTGTATTAGCCTAAGGGTCTGGCCTGGTTTTAGTCATACAGATAACATAGAGGTCACTTAGGCTATTAACCACCTCTGGTCCTGGTTGTGGGAGCTTGGGGGAGCCCCTGGCTATGCAGATAATATAAGGGTCATTTAGACTACTGGGTATCTCTGGTCCTGACTGTGGAAACTTGGGGAGCCCCTAACTGTGAAGGTCATTTAGATTACTAGCCAACTCCAGTCCAGGAGGAGCTTGATATGACCTGGCCCAACAGATAATGCAGATTACCAGGCTATTAACACTTCCAATTCCCAGCTTTCTAGATGGAAAAAATAGGTTTTACCTCTTTCCCATTGGAAAGACAATCCCATGTAATTAACATTCCTGGTCTCCCTGGAGATCTTTGGGCACAAGGACCTTCCTGTTGTGCTCTAGCTGGCGTAATGGTGAATGCCTTTACAGGTGGATCTCTGAGTTCAAAACCAGCCTGGTCTGCATAGTGAGTTTCAGAATAGCCAGGGCTATGCAGAGAAACCTTGTCTCAATATATATGTGTGTGTGTGTGTGTGTGTGTGTGTGTGTGTGTGTGTGTGTGTGTGTGTGTGTGTGTGTGTGTGTGTTTATGTATATATGAACAAAATCTTGACCAAAGTAATCATCAATCCTTTTGAATTTCCTTGTCTTGTTTGTTGCTTTCCTTTTTTTTTTTTTTTTGGATTTTCAAGACAGGGTTTCTCTGTGTAGCCCTGGCTGTCCTAGAACTTACTCTGTAGACCAGGCTGACCTCAAACTCACAGAGATCCACCTGCCTCAGTGCTTTATTAATCCAAGTGCTAGGATTAAAGTCATGTGCCACCACCACCCAGCTTGTTCTCTTTCTTTACTTTCTTAAATCAACTAGTTGTATAACTATTTTAAAAAATATTCTCCTAATATAAAAATATCTGAGCTGGGCTTGACATCCCCTGCCTGTCATCACAGCACCTGAGAAGGTGAGACCAGAGGGTTGCCAAGAATGCAAGATCAGAGTTGGCTACAGAGTAACTTCCCGACTCCCATTTTTAAAAACTGTTAATTTATCTATTTATTTTTGTTTTATTTTATTTACTTGGGATAGAATCTCATGCAATGCAGGCCTCAGACTCTCTCTTTGTTCAAGGCTGGCCTTGAACTCTTGATTCTCCAGCCCCAGTACTCCCTCCCCTCCCTAGTGCTGAGATTTCCAGTTTGAGCAGCTGGGTCTGTCCCTTCCTGAGGTTGGTTGGTTGGTTTGTTTTGTGTTTCAAGACAGGGTTTCTCTGTGTAACAGCCCTGGCTGTCCTGGATCTCTCTTTGTAGACCAGGCTGGCCTTGAACTCATAGAGATCTACCTGCAATCTTCCTGCCTTTACCTCCCGAGTGCTGGGATTAAAGGTGTGTGCCACCACCTCCGTCTGGCTTCCTTCTTGAGTTTTGTGAGACAGGATCTTGATATACAGTCCAGAATGGCCTTTAATTTGAGCCACTCTTGCCTCTGCCTCCTTTGGACTGATTGCAGGAGTGTCCCATGAACGTCTCTTCTTCTCTATTTTCTTTCTTTCTTTCTTTCTTTCTTCCTTCCTTCCTTCCTTCCTTCCTTCCTTCCTTCCTCCCTCCCTCCCTCCCTCCCTCCTTTCCTCCTTCCCTCCTTCCCCCCTTCCTCCCTTCCTCCCTTCCTCCCTTCCTCCCTTCCTCCCTTCCTCCCTTCCTTTCTTTCTTTCTTTGAGACAGGGTTTCTCTGTGTAGCTTTGCGTCTTTCCTGGAACTCACTCTGTAGCCCAGACTGGCCTCGAACTCACAAAGATCCACCTTCCTCTGCTTCCCAAGTGCTGGGATTAAAGGCGTGTTCCACCACCTCCCGGCATCTGTTCTCTATTTTCTAATTGAGTTCCGTTCCATTGATATATTCATTTTGCTCCCTATTAGCTCCTTAGCTCATTTTAATGATTTTTTTCTAACTTTGAGTCAGCTATTTAAGTTATTGATTACTTCCCCTTACCTCTCATGTAGATATTGTATAACTAGGAATTTCTTCCTCACTAACTTGCCCATATTCTTTGGTTCCTATATGTAGTATTGATTTATAGTTTTCTAGAAATTTTGAATTTGTGCTTGATATTTTTTTTCTTAAACTGAGTCCATAGTTTTGCTGTTCTTTTAAGATAGAAAGATTTCTGTTTGTTGGTTTTATTTTGAGTTAGTCATTTTAGTGTACTGTTACTAGAATATTTGAGTACTTTATTGTTGCTTAGATGTATTGAGATTTTTCCTTATGGTCTTAAAAGTACCTTTTTCTTGAATTAAAAAAGCAATTAAACAATAGTTTTTGTTACTTATTAACTAACTACTAGTACATATCCATCTAAAATTTCAAGATTATAAAATCAGTATTGAGCTGGCAAGATGGTTTCTGAGGGTAGAGACACTTGGCCACCCAGCCTGATGACCTAAGTTCAGTCCCCAGGATGGTAGAAGAGCTGATTCTTCCAAGTTGTCCTCTGATCTCTGCACGGTGACACATGTATACATGTGTGCATACACACTAAGTAGATGTTTTAAAGATTTTCATCAGTATGTGGCAATAACAAAGTTATAGCACCCAAGTTAAATGTTATAGTCTAATACTATCTTGTTCAGATAGGTAATTTTTTTCTGAAGTATGCCAAAATAATAAATTTTCCATGTATAATTTGTATATTTGCCATAAAGAATGCTTTAGAATTTAAACTAAAATTTTAATTAAAACTATGATATTGTGAATAAAATAGGAAAAAATACTTTATGGAGTTTAAAAATAAATTTGATACTCTGTTAGACGATGTGAGTCTTGTATTCAGTGTGAATAGAAAATAATTCTGTGGGGCTGGGCAGATGCTCGGTAGTTAAGAGCTCTGGCTGCTCTTCCAGAGGACCTGGGTTCAGTTCCTAGCATCCATGTGGTGGCTTACAGCTGTCTGTAACTCCAGTTCCAAGGGATCCAGCGATGTCTTCTGGCCTCTATAGGTACCAGGCACACATCTGGTGCACATATATAAATGCAAACAAAACACCCATACACACAAAATAAACAAATCTTTTAGAACTTATGCTAAGGAAAACATTTGGCTCCAAATATCTATAGGCAGTTTCCCTGTTTAATTTGGCAAGTTTGGGAATGAAAGTCTAGAGAGTGCTGGAAAGCCAGAGTTTCCAGTTCTGTGATTTTATATGAAGCTGGTTTGAGTTCCTGACTTTTGCTTCTACATTCTATGTGAGCAATAGGGCATGTTTTAAGATTTCTAATGAAAATTCTGATTTAATAATTTCTAGAGTTTCCATATTGACTTTATAACTTACAGTGTTTGTATTTTTGCCCTAATGTCTTTATAATACTGTGGTTTTACTTTCCTCTCTTTTTTTCTTTTCTTTTTTTCTTTTTCTTTCCTTTCTACAAGAATTCTATTTGGCTGCTACTTTGAAATACAAACCCTAAAGATGCCACCTTGTTTGGACTTAGAGGATGACCTGGATAAGTGATAAAAATTAAGACATTTTGGTAAGTGAAACTTTATGTAAGAGAATTTTTTTAAAGTCTATTATTTTGGTTTTTCTTTTATTTTAAATTTCATTATTTTATAATGTATTGTGTGTGTTTTGCCTTCATGTATGTCTGTGCACCACATTCATGCAGTTCCCATGGAGGCCAGAAGAGGTTGACAGATGCCCTGGAACTGAAGTTACAGACAGTTGAGAGCCTCCATGTAGGTTCTAGGAATTGAACCTGGATTTGAGTCAGTGCTCTTAACTGCTGAGCCATCTCTTTGATTTCTTTCACAACATGTTATCTGTATATAGAGAACCTACTGATGTATTTTATTTGCATGCATGTTTGTGAGTACCCAGGGAATCCTGAAGAAGACATCAGAGCCCCTAGAACTGGATTTATAGGCAAGGTTATGAGCCATCTGACATGGGAACCAAGCTCCAGTCCTCTGCAAGAACAAGTAACTGCTGAGCCATCTCACTAGGCCTGCTACTGGCTTTTCTGTTAATTTTGTATATCTGATACTTTGTTGAAAGTTTTTTCCAGCTCTAAGAACTTTCTGGTGAAGTCCTTAGGGTCTTTTAAGTATATGATCGTATTTGTAAACAGGAGTGATTTGACCCCTTCTTTTCTTTCTTCTATGGCTTTTATTTACCTCCTTTTAAAGAATTCAAGCACTATCTAGGAGTGGTACAACACACTTTTATTTTGTTTTATATTTTGCATACACCTTTAATTTCAGCATTCTAGAGGCAGAGGCAGAGGCAGATGAATCTTTGTGTGTTCGAGGCCAGCCTGGTCTACATAGTAGATTCCAGGACAGCCAGAGCTATATAGAGAGACCCTGCCTCAAAAAAAACGCAAACACACAACAGAGAATTCAAGCACTATATTCAGTAAGAGTGGTGGGAGGTAGAGTAGGGCTGGAGAGTTAGTTCAGGGGTTAAGAGCACTGGCTGTTCTTGCAGAGAAGCCAGGTTCAGCTCCCTGCACCCACATGGTGGCTCAACCATCGGGTCCTCTATAAGAGCAGTATGCCTCTTAACTGCTAAGCTGCCTCTCCAGCCTCTATATCTTATTTCTATTTGTGTGTGTATATGTTCCACCAAGAGGTGTAGAAGTGAGCAGACAACATGCAAGAGGTAGTTCTCTCCTTCCTCCATGTACTTTCTGGGCATTAATCATAGGTTTGGCTGTGCTTTTACACACAGAACCATCTCACCAGCCCTCGCTGTGTGTTAGCCTTCTTTTTAGATTGTATCCTCTTGGTTCAATTTGGGTAATTCATGTATTGAGAAAAATACCCATTCCTTCTAGATTTTATAACTTACTGGAAGTTTTCAAAATACTCCTTAATGATCTGAATTTCACTGCTTTCATAACTCCTTTTCAGTCTGTGTAAGTATGTGCATATGTATGTATGTATGTATATATGTGTACTTACTGTTTTTTGAGAGGAAGCCTCTTGTACCCCAGGCTGGCCTTGAACTCCCTTGGTGGCCAGATCCTCCTGCTTCCACCTTCCATGTGCTGGAATCATAGGTATGTATCACCATGCCCAGTTTATGTAATGCTGGGGACCAAATCCAGAGCTTTGTGCATGTTAGGCGAGCACTCATCAACTGACCTACATCTCTAGCCTTTTAATTTTCTTCACTCATGTCTACTTACTTTGTTTAGTTTGGTTATCTTATCAAAGAACTAACTCTTTGTTCAGTCATCTTATATTTTTGTTTTAATCTATTTCATTAACACCTGACCTGGCATTTATTTTGCCTTTCTGTGCTGAACTTTTCCTGTGTCCCACCTGGCCCATGGTCAGGACAAATCTCTCTCACCCGCCAGTCCTACAGCTGCTTGGACCCAAGTAAACACACAGAGGCTTATATTAATTAAAACTGCCCAGCCATTAGCTCTGGCCTTCCACTGACTAGCTCTTACATTTAAACTAACCCATAATTCTTATTTATGTTTAGCTGTGGCTTGGTACCTTTTTATGGTGATATTTTATTTGTATTAAAATGTTATTTGTGGCCGGGCGGTGGTGGCGCACGCCTTTAATCCCAGCACTTGGGAGGCAGAGCCAGGCGGATCTCTGTGAGTTTGAGGCCAGCCTGGGCTACCAAGTGAGTTCCAGGAAAGGCGCAAAGCTACACAGAGAAACCCTGTCTCGAAAAACCAAAAAAAAAAAAAATGTTATTTGTATCTTAATAAATAAAGTTGCCCGGAGGTCAGAGCTATTAGCAAGCCATAGGAAAGCAGGGCAGTGGTGGCGTACGCTTGTAATCCCAGCACTTGGTAGGCAGAGCTAGGTAAGTCTCTGTGTGTTCAGGGATACAGCCATTATTGGATACACATGCCTTTAATCTCAATACCAATCATGGAAAACGTGGAGGTCTATACAGACAGGCTGTGACGAGGCGGTCATGTGGTTGGGTTTACAACCAATGAGAAGGCAGAACAGAAATTCTATATAAGGACTTTAACACAGAAAGTAGCTCTTCGGAGAGGTAGGACCACCGCAGGAGGAAGGGTAAGGTTTTAGCTCTTAGCTCTGACCTCTTGGCTTTCTTCTTTGCATTGGTTCTGTGTTTCTTATTTAAAAAGACGGTTGGTTACATCTACACCTTTTCTCAGTTCTGCCTTCACATCTTGCTTCCTCTGTGTCTGGCTGGCGACTCCTGACTCAGCCTTCCTCTTCCCAGAATTCTCCAGGGCTACTGGTCAATCAGTGTTTTATTTATCAACCAAATCAGAGCAACACACATTCACAGCATACAGAAAGACATCCCCAGCACCTTTCCTCTTATGAAAAAAAAAAATGTTAAAACAGTTTTATTTTCTATTTGTTTCTGTAGATGGCTTTGGTGTGTGTGGGAGGGGTTAGAGACACTTGTAGTTTGATTCTTTGCTTCCACCACATGGATACCAGGAACCAAACTCATCATCAGGCTTGGCAGCAATTGCAGTTACCTGCTAAGTCATGTCACCAGCCTGTGGTTCACAGGCTTAGAAGTAACGCATTTACTTGTTCAGCCATCTCATCAGCCCGTGTTATGGCTTTTGGGTTTGGCTTGTTCTTGTTTTTTTGTGGGTTTTTTCCTATTATTATTAAAATTTTTATTTATTTATTTTACATACCAACCACAGTTTCCCCTCCCTCCTCTCCTCCTGTTCCCTCCAGGTTGTTCTCGTTTTACTAAGGCCTTGACATGCATCATTAGGTTATTTTTCTTGCAGTTCCTACTTTGAAATGCCTGCTAAATAGTTACAGAATTTAGGCAGTCTCAAGACTCAGTCTTTTTTCTGGCCAAGCAGAAGCTTTTAAGCCTTAAAAACCTGTATTAGTTTTATTTATTTACTTCTAATGTTTATTAGAATTTTTTTGTTGTTTTGTTTTTCGAGAGAAGATTTCTCTGGTGTAGACCAGGCTGTCCTCAAACTCAGAAATCTGCCTGCCTCTGCCTCCTGAGTGCTGGGATTAAAGACGTGTGCCACCACTGCCCAGCTGTTTATTAGAATTTTTAAAATGTAGCTGGAAAGTAAATATAGTTGTTTTACGAAGGATTTTCTGAATGCTGTTGTTTTGTTTGTTTGAGACAAGATCTTAACTATGCAGCTTAGGGTGGGCTCAAACTTGTGATTCTCCTGCTGAAATTACAGATATTCACTGTCACTCCACTTCTTTTATTTCCCTATTACCCTTTGTATATTTTTCCCAATATCCTATTCTTTTGTTTTGTTTTGAGACAGGGATTCTCTGTGTAGCTTTTGGAGCCTCTCCTGGAACTCGCTCTGTAGACCAGGCTGGCCCCAAACTCACAGAGATCTGCCTGCCTCTGCCTCCCGAGTGCTGGGATTAAAGACGTGCGCCACCACCACCCAGCTTCAATATACTATTCTTACAAAAAAAAGTAGCATATAGTATTATAAAAGGAAATTTTAATTAGTGGATAAATTATACCTCTTACAGAAGTGTGGATGATATGTTAAATAATAATGATATGTTACAATACTCTGCATCCCCTCTTTTTTTTTTTTTTTTTGAAGGTTTTCTTATTGTTCACTTTGCATATACTTCTGGAATAATACACCATGGTTTTGGATGACCTTCCAAACTTTGAAGACATCTATACTTCCCTGTGTTCATCAACAATGGAAGACTCAGAGGTGGACTTTGACTCTGGACTAGAAGATGATGACACAAAAAGTGATAGTTTTTTGGAGGATTCCACAATTTTTGTAGCCTTCAAAGGAAATATAGATGATAAAGACTTCAAATGGAAACTGGATGCAATAGTAAAGAATGTGCCTAACTTGTTACACATGGGTAATTCCTTTAATTTTTGCTTCCTTCTGGTTACTCTTTTTGAGTGTTTGCCCTTTCATGGTCACTATCAGTTCTGCAAAGTGCATTGTGCGGCTGATTTTAAGTGCAAAGGTAGAACTTAAGGAATTACCCTACCCTCTTCCCCTTCCATGTCTGCATGTCTTGTTGTCACCATCATTTTTATTTTATTTATTTTTTAGTTTGTGTTTTAGAAAGGAGGCAGATTGTATTGCTTAGAACTGAGGTTATAGTCTTTATTACATTATACCTATTTATATTTTGTACATGTAGGGTGGGTATGTGCCATAGTACATGTATCCTTCCACCATGCAGGAATCAGGGGTCACATTCAGGTCATCAGGCATAGTGGTAGGTAACTACCCACTAAGCCATCTCACTGGCCCAGATCATATTCTTGACTCAAAAACATTTTGTCAGATATTCTCCAGTATGATGGAAACTTTAAAGGCCTTTATTTTCTTCCTAAAACAGGAATGTAGTCCAGGCTGCCTTTGGCATAGTGATCTTCCTGAAACGCTGATTCTAGGATTACAAGTGTAGGCTATCTTGCCTAGTTTTAAAAGTTGCTAGTAAAGTTTAACTGTATTGGAATTAAACATTTTTCAACTATATTAACATTAAGACTACTATAAAGACATCTTATGTGTATGTAGAACATGGATAAGTTTACAGTAATCAGAAGATTGAGAAGAAACTTAGTGTCTTTATCCTGTGGAACCAGGATCCAAAGTTTTTTAGTGTTTGGAAACATGTCTCCAAATGTCATGGAAAGGCAATAGGTTTAAACCTTAGAGATGGATTTTAATGCCTACTCCAATTTCATTAGGTAGCTACAGCTTTCTGGATGACTTAGCCTCTCTCTGGGCCCCAATTTCCTTAGCTATAAGAGAACTTTGACTAAACATTGTCTAACCATTTTTAAATCTTGTGAGTATATAAATCCCATTGCCCTTAGCAAGTGATCAACCAGTTTTGTTGTCCTACATTAGAGCAAGTGAATTCTGTGTTAGTATTTAGTAGCTAATGGTTTAAGAGCTGGAGGAGGGTTTAATGACATGAAGAAACTCTTCATAGGTATCTGGATTTTGAGAAAACATGTTCCTGCATGGCCATTCTATTAATATTGAAAGATGTAATTAAATAAAGCATATAAACCATTTAGTTGATCTGAGTTACTAACAAAAGGGAAATTATGGGCTGGAAAGATGGCTCAGAGGTTAAGAGCACTGGCTCTTCTTCCTGAGGTCCTGAGTTCAATTCCCAGCAACCACATGGTGGCTCACAACCATCAGTAATGAGATCTGGTGCCCTCTTCTGGTCTGTAGGTGTACATGCAGGCAGAACATTGTATACATAATAAATAAATCTTTAAAAAAAAAAAAGGGAAATTATTTCGTTTGAAACTGCTGGATAGCCTTTATTTGCTTCCTTGTCTGTGAAATGTAATTATAAACAATATTACTGCCTCAGCTAATTTTTTAAATCTTTGATTGTAAAATACATATAACAAAATTTGCCATCTTAACCATTTTTATATATGGTTCAATGGTACTTAAATACAATTAAAGTATTTTACAACAATCACTAGCAGCCATTTCTATAATTTTTTTGTTGTTGTTTTTGTTTTTATTTTTCGAGACAGGGTTTCTCTGTGTAGCTTTGTGCCTTTCCTGGAACTCACTCCATAACCCAGACTGGCCTCAAACTCACAGAGATCCACCTGCCTCTGCCTCCTGAGTGCTGGGACTAAAGGCGTGTGCCACCACCACCACCACCGTCTGGCTCCATTTCTGTAATTCTTACCTTGTAAAATTAAAATCTATAATAATTCCCCATTCCTTCCCTATTCCAGCCCTTAATAAGTACCTTGTACTTCCTATGATTTTTTAATTTAAAAAAATTAGATTTATTTAATTATGCATATGGGTATTTTTCCTGCATGTATATAAATACCTCACATGCATGCAGTGCCCACAGAGGCCAGAAGAGTGTATCAGATCTGCTGGAACTGGAGCTATAGCTAGTTGGGAACTGTGTGTTTGTTGGGAATTGAACCTCAATCCTCTGGAAGAGCAGCCAGCCCTCTAAACCACTGAGCCATCTCTCCAGCCCCTTTCCTATGATTTTAACTATTACCTACCTCATATAACCAGAATCATGTAGTGCTTGTCTCTTTATGACTGCTTTATTTAATTTAGCATAGTATGCTCATCATTTGTCCGTGTTGTAGCATATGATGGGCTTTCCTTCCCATTTCAGGCTGAATAGTCCACAGAATGTCTGTATATACCACATTTTACTTACTAATGTTTACCTGTTGCTGGGCACTTGGATTACTTCCATGGTTTAGAAGTTATGAATAATGCCGTGAACATGGATATGCTCTTCCATATCCTGCTTTCAAGTCTTTGGGCTGGATACCTAGAATTAAAAAGTGTTACATCATATAATTTTTTTTAACTTCTTACCATATAATTCTCTTAGCAGATTGTACCATTTGTATTTTCCCACCATTAGTGCACAGGGGTCCCTAGTTTTTCCCTGTCATTACCAACATTTGCTGTATTCTATTTTATAATAGCCGTCCTTACGTGATACGATATATAGCTGCTTGCTGGTGGTTTTGGGTACACAGAATCCTTGAGAAGTCCAGTATTTCTTTCCCTTTCGTTGCTTGCCCCTTTGCTGCTTTATCCAAGAAATCACTGCCAAATTCACGGTAGTGAAGGTTTGCCACAGATTTTCTTCTAAGACTTTTAGGTCTATATTTAAGTGTTTGTTCCATTTTCAGTTAATATTTGTATATGATATTCGGTTAACTTCACTCCTTAGCACGTGTACACATACTTTCCCCTTAAATTAATTAGCTTTTGTGTATTCCTAAAAATACGTCTGGAAGTGTGTGTCAGTTTCAGAATTGCAGACTGCCGATGTTTTTCTGTCCTAAAGGAAGCTTCCCTGTGGAATGTATGTCCAGTGTTGTTGTGCTTGAGTGGGAGCTCTACTCTTACCTAAAGTAGGGATTTTTGTTTTGTTTTCAGTTGCACATCCTCTAGTGCCTACAAAATTGATAATGTTATTCTCTTTACTTCCTTCATGACCAAGAATCCAGCAAGCTAAAGGTGCAGAAAGTGGAGCCCTGGAACAGTGTGCGTGTCACATTCAACATCCCCCGGGAAGCAGCGGAGCGGTTACGGATCCTGGCTCAGAGCAACAACCAGCAGCTTCGGGATCTGGGGATTCTCTCCGTTCAGATTGAAGGTCCTTTACTTTTCCGTGTGCCCATCTGAACCAAAATACAGTAACAGTGGTAACCAGCATAGTTTCTGATGCTGCTCTGTCCATTCCTCTGCTCTTATGTTTGAGACTCTCAAGCAGCTGTGCTTCATGTTGCAGTACCTTAGAATAAAAAGGCATTGAGGTATTACTGCAGCCTGAAGCATCATTTCTTTGGCTCTTTGGCCTTCAGTCTCAAACTTTGTTTTGAGGAACTGATTTGTCCTTTTGAAGAATATCTCATCTTAATTGCTTTCCTTTACTGAATAACGTTAATATTTCCTTTGTTTATGTAGCAGATTAGGGAGTCCAGAACAGTTCTTTTACAAGTGTTTATCAATGGAGTAACCCTCTTGAATGTAAAAATATGCTCAACCTAGTACACACATAATATCCAGCTTAAAGCCCTTCTGTTGTTTGCTACTGTTCACAGCCTATAGGTCAAATTCTCTACCATGACCATAGGGCTTGCATAGTCTGATAGCTACCTTCCTCATGTAGACCTATGCTAGTTAAATTCCATCCCCACCCCCACCCCTGACAGCTCTGTTTTCCAGTCTCCAGTTTTCATGTGGTTTTTTGAACACACAGTTCTCCCTTCTGCCGCCGATCTTCTGCACTGTTGCCTTCTGTGTATGGAGTACTGTCTCATACCATTCCTGTTCTTCAAGTTAATTCTTGCAGCCTTAAGTCTCTGGCTGACTCAGAGTCTGTTACTATGCTCTAACAAAAGTTCCTTTCTCTCAGATCATCTATCTCCCACTTTCCTTAAGGCAGGTATTTGGTTACTGTTTATTCCTCCATGTACTGTAAGCTCTAGTAGGAAAGAGATCTTGTCTGGTTTCATTCACTGTTGTATTTCTGAATTGCCTGGTACACATTAGTGTCTTTAGTAAACAAGTTGGATGAAAGCAAGGAAATGATATAATAATATTACTTTGCTTTTGCACCTGGTATATAATTATAAATAAAATACGCTCCTTACTGTTAAAAACTCAATGAATCCATGATCTTAGTAAGAAGGACAACTCTATGATTGATGTAAATATCAACTGTGGACAAGTATGCAAAAGTTTCTTCTTTTTACAAATAATTTTTATTGTGTGTGTGTATACACACATGTAGACAACCCATGGGAGGCAGGGCAGTTATCTTGCTCCATCATGTGGGTCCTGGGGATAAAATTCAAGTCATCAGGCTTGAAAGTAAATGACTTTATCCTGAGCTATCTCACTGGCTCTACCTTGTGTTTTGAGACAAAGTCTTTCACCAAAGTCTTTCGGACCCAGGACTTGCCAATTAGGCCAGGCTAACTGGCCTGCTCCTCCTGTCTCTGCCTCCCCTGTGTTGAGATTACAGGTGTGGTCCACAGTGCCATGCCAGGGTCTTTTAAATGGGTGTTAGGAACTAAATTCAGGTCCTGAGCAATCACTTTACCAACTGAGGTATTTCCCTAACCTCCTGGCAGTGGAGAACTTTTAAACAAATAATATTACTTGATGTCATTTCAAGAACTCTTCTGCTTGGGAAGCTGAGTAAAGTAGCGCACACCTTTAATTCTGAGCACTCAAGAGGCTGAGCCAGGTGGATTGCTAGAAATATAAAGGTAGCCTAGGCTACAGAGTAAGATCCTGTCTTTAAATAAATAAATAAATAAATAAATAAATAAAGACACCTCCCTTCCAAAAAGAAAAAAAAATGCTTCTACTTAAAATGTCTTAGCAAGTTTAGTGTATTAATAGTTCCTTCCAAATGGTGACACTCCAAAACCCATACTTCCTTTGGCTTTCACTCCTGATTCCTATAAGCAAGTCAGAGTATTTTATAACCTCTAATGATTGTTCCCTTATTGATAGAATGTTGTTCCCTGTGACTAGCCAGTCAGTCCCCTGATTAAACTCTACATAAAAAGCTCAGTGACAGGACAGAGGGAAGTATCTCCTTAATAGCTTCCCGCTGTATCAGACTGGAAACCAAGATCCCAAGATGTGAAAGGAGTTGGGGAATATAGTCCTTCAACCCCCAGGTGACAGGCTGGCTATAGTTGAACTGTCCGCAATGTGGAAGTATCTTCTGTGGAGACACTATCATAGTCAAAACTGTGGATCAAGTACAAGAACCATGCTGAAACTTGTTTCAGCAGCTGTTTTCATTAGGCCTGGTGAGATTGGAGTTTCCTTAGAATCTGCTTGTTTGATTGAGACAGTCCTGTTGATATTACCTACTAGGTGGAACTCAAATGAGATAAAATACTGAGCTGGCTCAGCAGTTAACACTAGCTGCTCTTCAGAGGACCTGGGTTCAGTTCCCAGCACCCACTAGTGGCTTACAGCATCTATAACTCCAGTTCCAGGAGATCCAACACCCTCTTCTGACTTCTTTGAGTACTGTATAAATGTGGTACACATACATACATGTAGTCAAAAGACTCACAAATTTTTATTTTTTATTTTTGGTTTTTTGAAACACGGTTTCTCTGTGTAGCCCTGGCTGTCCTGGAAATCAGAGATCCGCCTGCCCCTGTCTCCCAAGAGTTGGTATTAAAGACATGCACCAACACTGCCCAGCTCACTCACACACATACACACACACACCACACACACACACACACACACACACACACACACACAAAACAAACAACAACAACAAAAACCACAACAGTATAGAAGATGTAATATATTGGTGCAACACATGCTTACCATGCAGAAGGCCCTGGATTCAATCCCCACCATTGCTTATTACAAACCTATTTACATGTTGGTCTTATCTTGTATCACAGAGGTAGTTAGAAGAGACTTCTCTACTTGTCATTATATGACATCTCTACCACAAACCTGTAGGGATCATTTTGCTTGATGTTTTGTTTTTGAAATAGGATCTTGTGTAGCCATAGCCTCCTTCCGTCTTCTTCCTTCTACCTCTGGGGTGCTGGGGTAACAGGCATGTTCTGCCACACTAGGTTTGTGCAGTGCTGGGAATAGAACCCAGTGCTCTGGGCATACTGGGCAAGGACTCTGCCAACTGAGTTACGTCCTCAACACCTGGAAACCATTTTACAGTGCAGTTACTGAAAGAATATTGGTGATTTTCTCACAAGTGCTATAGAGTCTCTACACCTAAGTATAACAGTGTCCCCATACTACCCTGCCTTCTTTCCCCATTAAATCTCATCTCTTATCTTCTGATTATAAACTCTCAGAAGGAAATGAAGAATTTTGAGTTTCTGACAGTTTCTTCCCCTCCTTTCTTCCCTCCATCCCCCCAAGCCCACATACAGTTTGTGGTCTAGTTGAAAATAAATATGCAGTCTTTGAAGCCCTCTGACACTAAGCAACTTCATTAATGATGTGAGAACTGATCATGCTCTCCTTGTGCATGCTCGGGTGGAACAATCTGCATAGGCTAGGATTTTAGTTTCCTGTAATTCCAGCATTCTGGAGGTAGAGATTGGAAAGTCATGAATTTAGAGCCAGTCTGGCCTATATAATGAGCAGTTAAGGTCAGGGTTATAATACTGAGCTATTCCTTTTTGTAGTAGTAAACTTAATATTAATTCTTCAAAAACAGAAAAAAAATAGTTCTTCTGTAACTGTCTTTAAACAAAACGTGCATTTTACTCTGACTGTTTCCATTTATAACTTTACTGTCATTTTCAGGGGAAGGTGCTATCAACCTGGCTTTGGGTCAGAACCGAAGCCAAGATGTGAGAATGAATGGACCCATGGCATCTGGAAATTCTGTTAGGATGGAGGCAGGATTTCCCATGGCAAGTGGTCCAGGTGAGGCCCCCTACTCACTTGTGTGACATTTTACCAGTTTCCTTCTTTGGGCTTGATCTCTCTCTCTCTCTCTCTCTCTCTCTCTCTCTCTCTCTCTCTCTCTCTCGTTTGTTTTTTGTCTTTTGAGAGAGGGTTTCTCTGTGTAGCTCTGGCTATCCTAGAACTCACTTTGTAGACCAGGCTGGCCTTGAATTCACAGAGAGAATTCACAGAGATCTGCCTGCCTCTGCCTCTCAAGTACAAGGATTAAAGGCATGCTTCTCACCACCAGACATGGGCTTGATTTCTTAAGGTGTAAGTCTTGCCGTCTAGATGGGGTGTATAGCATAACCACTTTTATTGACTCAGTCAGGAAAGTGAGACAGGAATTAATCTCAGGAAGGTTATAATAACAAAGTATAAGGCTATGGTCTCTATAGTATTTGACTTAAAATCTGATGAACACTGAGTCATGGAGTAAGCATTTATTAAGTACCTAGTGTATGACAGGACCTCTGTTAAGTGTTGGAAATAGAAACAAGTAAAACATTTTCCACAAAATGTTTATAGTATAGTAGAGAATGTGACTTTCCACCTTGTACTTTCTCTGAGTCTGAGGATCTGTAAGCAGAGTTCTTGTGTCTTATGTGGAATCTTCATGTCTTTGGGATAATGTGTTTTTATGTATTTAGACTTGAGATTGGCTAGAAGTGTTGGACATGTCTGTGCTGTCTCATCACTCAAGAGCCTAAGGCAGAACGATCACGTGTCTCAAGGGGGAGGGAAGAATTTACAAGAGGTGCAAATAGTTCACTCCTTCTCTAGTAATCCTGAAATTTCTCCTTCAGAGATGAAACTCAATATTCTATGATTCACAAGATATTAGAATTGAGTTGACTCTCACTTTTAAAGCTGGAAAGTTGGATTCATGGAAAGGAAACGATTTGTCCCAGGTCGAGTAGCAGTCAACTAATATTCCAGATATCCTTACTTCAGATCAGTGGTCTTTTCACTGCACTGGTGGCTTGAAACCTTTGAAGCTTTAGGAGTCTATTCAGATAAAATGGAAAGTCACAGCTGCATGGTTGAAGAAGAGTAAGAGCCAAAGGCTGTATACAGTCAGTTGCTCCATCCCTGAAGACCATAGTATTGTTTAAAAGAAATGCAGCAGGAGGGACTAGAGGGGTGTCTCAGTGGTTAAGAGCACTTGTTCTTGCAGAGATATTGGGTTTGGTTCTCAGCAACCACATGGTGGCTTGCAGTTGTCTGTAACTCCAGTTTCAGGGGATCTCATGCCCTCTTCTGACTTCCACAGGCACCAGACACACACTTGATGCACAGACATATACACAAACAAAGCATTCATACACGTAAAGGACATCTTTTTTTTTTTTAATGCAGGAAAATGGAGGAACTCCATTTATAAACTGCTGTTCTGAACTGTAAGCAAAAACTTGGCATAACCAGGCATAATAATACATGCCTTTAATTCCAGCACTTGGGAGGCAAAGACAGGTAGATCTTAGTGAGTTTGAGGCCAACCTGGTCTATGTAGCGAGTTTCAGGATAACCAGGGCTATCTAGAGAGACCCTATCTCAACATACCAAAATTAAAAAACAAAGAACTTGGCATAGAATTGGAATTGGGTTTTTATACTGTGTAGCTAGAGTTTTCCTGCCTGGCCCACAGTCAGGACAAATCTCTCTCACCTGCCAGTCCCACAGCCACTCAGACCTGACCAAGTAAACACAGAGACTTATATTGCTTACAAACTGTATGGCTGTGGCAGGCTTCTTGCTAACTGTTCTTACAGCTTAAATTAATCCATTTCTATAAATCTATACCTTGCCACGTGGCTCGTGGCTTACCGGCATCTTCACATGCTGTTTGTCATCGTGGTGCTGGCAGTGTCTCTCTGACTCAGCCTTCCTCTTCCCAGCTTTATTCTCCTCCTTGTCCTGCCTATACTTCCTGCCTGGCCACTGGCCAATCAGTGATTTATTTATTGACCAATCAGCAACACACTTGACATACAGACCATCCCACAGCAATACTGCCTGTGCATTTTCTGTTTACCTCAAGCTATTTGCTATATTTCAATGAAATATAGTATATATTTTTATTTCCCTGAAATATAGTAGGTATATTTCATCTTTATTTTTAAAAATGACATGATAAGACCTGTAATCATTGGAGCATATACTTAATAGTAGATGAGCACTCTCCTAAAGCAAGCATTCCTTAATTTCTTCACACATGCATCTACTGTTGCTTGTCAGCTATCTACTGTTAAACTCCATCTGTATTCACAGCCCTTACTGTTATATTCATCTGTCAAAGTCTGTGCTGTTGGACTAATGTAAAGTGTCATATAATTAATGGTAAACATCTAACCTGATGAATTATATATAGACCTGGTTCCCCATACAGCTCTGAGCAAGTGTTAAGGTAGCTTGATAATAAGTCATAGATGACTGGGTGGTGGTGGCACATGCCTTTAATACCAGCACTTGGGAGGCAGATGCAGGTAGATCTCTGTGAGTTTGAGGACAGCCTCGTCTACAGAGTGAGTTCCAGGACAGCCAAGGCTACACAGAGAGACTCTGTCTCGGAGGGAAAAAAAAAAGTCATAGGTGGTCTTGTTGCCAATGCTAAAAGAGTAAAGGTGGGAGATGCAGCAGGAAGAACCTAGCCACCATCCATGTCAGTAAAGAGGTGAGTAGACCTGACACGAAAGCCAGGGAATCTGGGTTCGGATCTCAACTCCTGCCCACGGGCACTAATATTTTCTGGTCTTAGGTGACCATAAATATCTTTAATTATATCCTGGAAACAGTGTTAGAGAGCCCATCAAGTCTTGAATTATCAAGATACTTGTTAAACTGAGGCCAGCCAGCACACTGATTCCACCATCTAGTATCTGGCTAGTGTTATAGTGCCATAAGTTCATTAGCATACAGAAAACCTTGAAGCTAATGAAATCAGGTTAAATTGGTATTTAATGGAAGATAGTGATTGTGATCATTTATGACAGAGTACCAGGACTAATTAGTTAGTGATGACCTGTAGTCACCATGACATTTTAACCTCCAGGTATTTCTTTACACCAACTGTATTTTAAGATTCCTTTTCTTACATGTCTGTTGGACCTTAATGGATGCAAATGAAATTTAATGGTAGGTTAAATTAAGTAGAGAAATCTTCCCTGGGAAAGAAACCTTACATTTCCTCTGAAACAATAGTAAGTAACTTTAGAATTATGTATCTAGAACGTCTTAATTTATCAATTAATCTTAGCACTACTTTTTTCTCTTAGCATTGACAATAGAAAGCAACTAAACCTAAATTTATAGCCCCTTTTTTTTCATGCCCTTAGAGAATCCCAAGATTTTTGGGTATACCATAGTGATCATTTAATCAAAGGTTTTCATTCTTGGCTGTTGGTATTTGGGGCCAGTGATTCTTTACTGTGAGTAGCTATCTTGTACAGAGGGATATATTTAGTATCATCCTGGGCTTTTACCACTGTGCATCTCTTTCTTCTAACTGTGCCAACTAAAGACATCTCTGGATTTGACTCAATATCCCCTGGATATTACCTGCAGTGAGAACCACAGATCTAATTCAAATTCCCACATAGTACCAGAAATGCATGTTAACATGTTACTACTGAGCAGATAGTCAGTGTGTACTGGAAACAAGAAGCTCATTGTGAGCCAAGAAGATCTGTTCTTCATGGCATAAGAGTGTTCTCTTGTTGTTGCTTGTCTTGTTTTTAGTCAGATTCTCACTGTATAGCTCTCACTAACCTGAGACTTGCTATGTAGAGCAGGCTAGCCTTGAACTTGCAGCTATCCTTCTGCCTTTGTCTTCTGAGTGTTGGGGTTTCAAGTGTGCACTACCATACCTGTTTCATGAGAGTATTCTAATTGCTGTCTTTGAAAATGGGTGGGATTCCACAGAAGTAGATCTAGTTTTAACAGATAACTCTTTATCTGGTTGTGTTTTCTAACTAGAAAACTCTTAAAATTCTACATAAGGTACAACATGTAATGCATAGCTGAGATTTTTTTTTTTTTTTTTTTTTTTTTTTTTAGACAGGGTTTCTCTGTGTAGCTTTGCGCCTTTCCTGGAACTCACTTGGTAGTCCAGGCTGGCCTCGAACTCACAGAGATCCGCCTGGCTCTGCCTCCCAAGTGCTGGGATTAAAGGCGTGCGCCACCACCACCCGGCCATAGCTGAGATTTTTTTTTTTTTTTTTTTTTTTTTTTTTGGTTTTTCGAGACAGGGTTTCTCTGTGTAGCTTTGCGCCTCTCCTGGAACTCACTCGGTAGCCCAGACTGGCCTCGAACTCACAGAGATCCACCTGGCTCTGCCTCCCGAGTGCTGGGATTAAAGGCGTGCGCCACCACCGCCCGGCCTAGCTGAGATTTTAAGCAAGCAAGTGAACTCAGAAAAATCAGTTTAAAATGAAAATTTAAATAGTGATGAACAGCTGGTGTCGAAGCACAAGACTTTATAATCTCAGCAGTCAGGACCATGTCAAGACTCGTCTGAGTTACGTATTAAGACCATGTCTTTAAAGGGGGGAAGGAGGAAGGGACACAACATAAAAAAATCATAGAGAATCTGAAGGGCCAAGTGATTTGGGTTGCCAGGAAGGCTACATGAAGAATGCAGTTAGAATTCAAAATCCTTCATGAAGCCAGATTTTTCAGTGAAAGGTAGATTCTAAAAATGTTAGTTACCTTCGACACAGGGAGTACATGGATATTTGCCTTTCTTGACATGGGCTCTCTTTGGAGGATGGTGGTTTGGGGAATGTCTTCTCTAATCATTTGCATGTTGAACGTATTATAATAAAATGGCCTGCAACAGCTAACCTGTCATTAATATTAAGTGGTTCTAGCTCCTTCATTCAACTACTGAGGGATCTGGATGCGGAGATCCATGACTAGGCCCTGGGTAGATCTCTGGGAGTCCAGTTAGCAAGAATGAGGAGGGTTTATATGAGCGAGAATTGTTGAGACCAAGGTTGGATAAAGCACAGGGACAAATAGCCAAACGAATGGTGGAAACACATGAACAATGAACCAATGGCTGAGGGGTCACCAACTGGATCAGGCCCTCTGAGTGGGTGAGACAGTTGATTGGCCTGATCTGTTTGGGAGGCATCCAGGCAGTGGGACCGGGTCCTGTGCTCATTGCATGAGTTGGCTGTTTGAAACCTGGGGCCTATGCAGGATTGCTTGGCTCGGCTTGGGAGGAGGGGACTGGACCTACCTGGACTGAGTCTACCAGGTTGATCTCAGTCTGTGGGGAAGGCTTTGCCCTGGAGGAGATGGGAATGGGGGGGGGGGCTGGGGGGGAGGTGAGGGGAGCGGGAGCGGGGAGAACAAGGGAATCCGTGGCTGATACGTAGAACTGAATTGTATTGCAAAATAAAAATAAAAAAGTAAAATAAAAAATAAACCAAAAAAAAATTAAAAAAAACATTAAGTGGTTCTAGACTGGTAAACCACTGATGCTATGGAGGAGCACATTCTCAGCCCAGGCCATTATGCACTTTCAGTTAAAACTTACTATAATAAACAAGTGTGTGCTAAATTAATGAATTTTAGGGTTAAACTTCCATTTTTTGGAATTTTAGGTAATAGGAATATCAGCATGTTTAAAATTATGAAAACGATAATAAAAAAGATATTAATAGGTCTTGTGGTGGTGGTGCGCACCTTTAATCCCAGCACTTGGGAGGCAGAGGCAGGTGGATCTCTGTGAGTTCTATGCCAGCCTGGTCTACAAAGCAAGTTCCAAGATAACCAGGACTGTTACACAGAGAAGCCCTGTCTCGGGGGGGAAAAACAAAAAAATTAACAGTATAAATATGTTTGGAGGGGGAACAGAACTTGTACAGAATTTAAAGGTAGCAAATGAATGATTTAGTCAGCAAATTAGAAATAGCTGGACTTGAAGGAGAATATGAAGAAATCACCCAGAATACAGGAGAGAGAAATAGTAGAAATATGAAAGCAGTCAAGAGACTTGAAGGATAAATGAGAAAGTTTACCATGTTTTTAAAAGAGTTCCAGAAGATGAAGAAACTGAGGGATAAGCATTAAAGAATACCTGAAAAATTCCCAGAACTGATTTTTCAAAATGACACAATTCCTTCATATCAGAAGACCAGAGATGCTGAGCAGATAAATCCACATCTAAACCATACTGCAAACATACAGAACATGGAAAACAGAATGTTAAAGGCATTCCCTCCTCCATGCACACACACCGGAAAAGAGCCATTGCTTACAAAGGAAAGACTGTCAGATTCACAGCTGATTTCTCAACTGGAACATTGGAAGCCAGAGTCTTAGAATAGTATTTCCAAAATGCTAAGGAAATCATTTGGAGCCTAGAATTCTAAACCTAGTTGTGCTATTGAGAGAAGTAGAACAAAACATTTTCAAAGAGACAAGAGCATTGCCAGCTGTGCTTGCCTGCAGCCCTGCTGCCATGGGCTGAAGATAGAGGGCAGAGGAAAGGCCCTGGTTCCTTGTGCCTCACGCTTGCATACTATGGACTTTGCTGAGCAGCACGGCTATATTAAGGGCATCGCAAAGATCATTCATGACCTTGTCCACAGCACTCCTCCTGTGAAAGTTGTCTTTCGTGATCCCTACTGATTGAAGAAGCATCGCTGCAGAGGGCATCCACAAATGTCTGTATTGTGACAAGAAGGTCCACCTCAATATCGGCAATATTTTACCTGTGGGCACCATGCCTGAGGGTACTATTGTGTGTTATCTGGAGAAGCCTGGGAACAGGCAAGCTGGCACTAGCTCCTGGGAACTATATAACAGCTATCTCCCACAACCCAGAGACCAGGAACCCAAGTGAACTTGCCTTCAGGGTCCAAAAAGGTCATTTTCCAGACCAACAAAGCTGTTGTTGGTGTGGTGGCCAGTGGAGATAGAATTGACAAACCTATCTTTAAAGGCAAGCTGTGCATACCACGAGTAAAAGGCAAAGAACTGCTGGCTGTGTATATGGGGTGCGGCCATAAGTCCTTTGGAGCATCCCTTTGGAGGTTGTAGCCACCAGCACATTGGCAAACCCTCCAATATCTGAAGAGATGCCCCCTGCTGGGTGCAAAGTGGGTCTTGCTGCCTGCTGGACTGGGTGGTTGCATGGAACCAAAACTGTAAGAGAAAGTTTAGCTCATGAGCCCAATCAAGTTTGTCCTTTGGCAAAACAAAACAAAAACATTGGTCTATCATTACCACACTTTGCTAATTGAACTGCTCAAGATGTACTTTAGGAAGAAGAAAGTTGAATCTAACATGGAAGAAATAAGGTCTTAGAAGGAACGGTGAGCTCCTGATTGGAAAACCTATGTAAGACTGACTTAATGATGATCAGATGTTGTTTAGATTGGTAGAAAAGAAAGGTATGATGAAAAAAATCCAGTAAAATTTAGGGAAAATAAGACAGTACAGCATAGGGAGAAAAAATAATGTAAATATAAGCCATAGAATGAATGATAAGTCAGAATATACCAGGCAGAAGCTGACAGTAAAGGTAACTAGATTGGGAACACTAATAATATGGAAGTATTACTTAGAATAATCTCAGATTTAGCTCTGTACTGTTTGGAGAACTGTAGAAAATATAAGAACACAAAGTTCTAAGTCCAAAATAAGATTAAGCCAGGTAAATACTAACAAGAAAAAGGATAATTTTTTTTTAAATCAGACAAGACAGATGCTAAGATGAAAAGGATAAAGCTGTACATGGTGGTACATGCCTTTAATCCTAGCACTGGGGAAGCTGAGGCAGGCAGGTGCGTCTCCATGAGTTTGAAGTTAGCCTGGTCTACAAAGCAAGTTCCAGGACAGCAAGGAATACATAATGAGACCCTGTCTCAAAAAAGAAAGGAAAACAAAAAATATATTATATATATTTGTATATGTATATATATATATAAAGTGTGTGTGTGTGTGTGTGTATATATATATATATATATATATATATATATATAATACGTAATCTGGGCATGGTGGTATTTGCCTGTAATTCTACCTATATAGTACCTGCTTAGGAGGACCTTAAGCTCAAGGCTTAGGTGGACTACATACCAAATTGAAAACCTACTGGAGCAATTTATACTCTGTCACAAAATGTAAAAAGAGTCACACATGTAGCTTGGTACTAGAGTGCTTGTCTAGCATATGCAGACTTGAGTTCCATCCCTCGTATCACAAGTAACAATAATAAAAGATAAAAATCATGTGAATGAAAAAGGCCACTCTATATAACAGAAAAATTTCATCAAAAAAATTGCTAAATTTTTGCATACCTAATAACCTAGCCTCTGAATATATAAAAATAACACTGAGATGCCAAGTCTTGGAGATTTTAACATCCATTAGTAATTGATGAATCAAACTTATAAAAAACAATAAGAATAAAGAAAGTTTGAATGACATGATGAAAAGTTTTATATAATGAGCCAGGCCTGGTTTCATACACCTTTAATTTCAGTGCTTAGGAAGTAGGTGGATCTCTGTGAGTTCAAGGCCAGTCAGTCATGGCTACATAGATTATCTCCAAAATAAAAAGCTTTATGTGAATGAATATGTATAGAAAATAGGTAATCCTAATTTCAGAGTTCTTAATCTTTTCAAGAATAAATGGAGTATTTATATGAGTTGACTATAAATGTTTTTTTTTTTTTTTTTTTTTTTTTGGTTTTTCGAGACAGGGTTTCTCTGTGTAGCTTTGCGCCTTTCCTGGAACTCGCTTTGGAGACCAGGCTGGCCTCGAACTCACAGAGATCCGCCTGGCTCTGCCTCCCGAGTGCTGGGATTAAAGGCGTGCGCCACCACCGCCCGGCTGACTATAAATGTTTTTAAAAGCAAGTTTTAGTAAATACAATGGAACAATAAATATCCTATAGATTCTATGTCTAGCTATAGTGTACTTAAGTGACTGGTAAAATAAATAAATAATACATAACCAAAATACCCCATATTTTTTAAAATTTAGAAGTATATTCTAAGTGCCTTATGATTTTAAAGGATAATCAGATGGAAATTGAGAAGTGTTTAGAATTTTAGGGTGGGGATATTATGTATCAATCAAATTTTGTGAAATACGTCCATTAAAGAAGTTGGAAGGAAAGCTCTCAGGTGTCAGTGGTGAACATCAATGGAAAATTAATGATCTAAGAGTTTGACTTAAGAATTGAGAAAAAGGGCTAGATGTGGTGTATGCCTTTAATCCTAGCACTTAGAAGGCAAGCAGGTGGATCTCTATTGAGTTTGAGGCCAGCCTGGTCTATAAAGCAAGTTCTAGGCCAGCCAAGGCTATAGAATGAGACCCTGTCTCACAACCATCTGTAACTCTAGTTCCAGGAGATCCAACACCTCTTCTGGTCTCCACAAACACCAAGCATGTATGTAGTGCACACACGTGTACATGCAGGCAAATACCAGGCATATATGTGGTGCACACACATATACATGTAGGCAAAACATTCATAGACATAAAATTTTAAAATCTAAAAATAGTCATTAAAAGAAAGTTTTTTATAACTTTCAGAATTTCTAAAATATGTCACTAAAAATAAAAATTGTAAGCTGAGTGTGGTGGCTCACCTGTAATCTCAGCCCTTCCAGAAGCAATTATCATGAGTTGCAGACCAGTCTGGTCATTAGAGTAAGATCTCATCTCAAAAAACAAACACCACACACACACACACACAATGTGCCAACATAAGTAGATACTTTTTTTTCTTCTAGGATTAATAAGGATGACGAGCCCTGCCACTGTTATGATGCCCCAGGGTGGGAACATGTCATCTTCCATGATGGCACCAGGCCCCAATCCAGAACTGCAGCCCAGGACTCCTCGCCCTGCTTCTCATTCAGGTAGTGACTTCCACTTCCACTCGTTGGAATTTAAAGACACTGGAACTACTTACAGATATCATTGAGATTTAGTCACTGATGCTAAATTTCTAACCACTTAGTTCTAGTGTTTACCTTCTTTACAAAATCTACTATGAATTTTCACAGCTAAATGTCAATATTTCTTCTCAGAATGTACTATATTCTTATCATCTGTGCCCCAATATTCGCAAGAAGTATGTTCTTATTTAGGATTCCTATTGCTCTGAAGAGACATCATGACCACAGCAATTGCTATAAAGGAAGGCATTTAATTGGGGCTTGCTTACAGGTTCAGAGGTTTAGTCCATTGTCTTCATGGCAGGTAGACAGGGTGCTAGAGAAGTAGCTGAGAGTTCTACATCTGGATCAGCAGGCAGCAGGGAGAGAGAGTGACACTGGGTCTGGCTTGAGCACTTGAAACCTCAAAGCCCACCCCCAGTGACACCCTTCCTCCAACAAGGCCACATCCCTAATTGTGCCACTCCCTTTGAGCCTTGAGGGCCATTTTCATTCAAACCACCATATATGCCTTGGCATGCTTAGTTCTATAAGATATATCATGACAGAATTTTGAAGTCATATAAATTTGGTAAATGTTTCATAAGTTAACATGTTAGCAGCACTAAGCTTTCTACAGTAAAGAAGAAAGTTATCTGAAATCATTAGGTCTAGCATTTCCCAAACCTAGTTGACTATTTTATTTTGTTTTCCTTTAACAGTAATTGCCCAGAATACAATTTTGAAAATCTTGTTGTCTATCTTAAGTTTGGTGCGTCTCACCACCAGTGAACCACAAGCTGTCTTTAAGGCAGGATTCATCTTTATATTTGTTGGTATGCTGTTTATTCTTAGAACATACTCAATCAAGAACATGGTAATATCAGTGGTACCAGCAGATCCAAGCCAGTGTGCTATGATGTGGGTTGTAGTAGGTTAATTATTGTTCACTATCTTTAAACAGATGCAATGGATCCACTTCTCTCTGGACTCCATATACAGCAACAGAGTCATCCCTCAGGATCTTTACCTCCAGCACATCACCCAATGCAGCCTGTTCCTGTGAATAGACAAATGAATCCAGCTAATTTTCCCCAGCTGCAGCAACAGCAGCAGCAGCAACAGCAACAGCAGCAGCAGCAGCAACAACAACAACAGCAGCAGCAGCAGCAACAGTTGCAGACAAGACCTCCACAGCAACATCAGCAGCAACAGCCACAGGGGATTCGTCCACAGTTTACTGCTCCAACTCAGGTGCCTGTTCCTCCAGGCTGGAACCAGTTGCCTTCTGGAGCCCTACAGCCTCCGCCAGCCCAGGGCTCTTTGGGCACAATGACTGCAAATCAAGGGTGGAAGAAGGCTCCCTTGCCTAGCCCAATGCAACAGCAACTTCAGGCAAGACCTTCCTTAGCCACGGTACAGACACCTTCTCACCCTCCCCCTCCTTATCCCTTTGGCAGCCAGCAGGCCTCACAAGCCCATACAAACTTTCCTCAAATGAGCAACCCAGGCCAGTTCACAGCTCCTCAGATGAAGAGTTTGCAGGGAGGGCCCTCCAGGGTCCCAACCCCACTGCAACAACCCCACCTCACCAACAAGTCACCTGCCTCCTCACCCTCCTCCTTCCAGCAGGGATCCCCTGCATCCTCCCCAACGGTTAACCAAACTCAACAGCAAATGGGACCAAGGCCACCTCAAAATAACCCACTTCCCCAGGGATTTCAGCAGCCTGTCAGCTCTCCAGGTCGGAGTCCCATGGTTCAACAGGGAAATGTGCCACCTAACTTCATGGTGATGCAGCATCAGCCACCAAACCAGGGGCCACAGAGTTTACACCCAGGCCTAGGAGGTGAGGAACACTAAAGCTGCTTGTGTTGGTAAATTTACTGGAGATAGATTTGAGTAGAATGTCAGGTTTTAGTGTTAATGGCGGGAGTGAAATAAGGATGTAATTGTTTGGTTTTGTGATATGGTGATAACACTTGATACTTAGTTAACTTAATGTATTTTTATGTTGATTACCATAAATGTAAGCTAGCTCTCTGGATAAAAATGCAGGTGAAATTCAAAATAGAGATTTTTGCTTTGTTTCAAACTACTTTTGCTTAATCGTATACTGGTAAATTAAAATGTCCAGACCAAACATGTATTTTATTAATAATTTAAACTTCTCATTTGTTGAAGGATTAAGATTATGCAGTTGAACAAAAATGAAAAGATAAGTACAAGGTTTTATTGGGGAAAATGCCCTTCTAGTTACCAATTTTGATAATCCTAGTTAGTAAAATAGTAAGCATGGTATTTGTTAAGTTTGATTAAAGTATTAAAGGGGACTAAGTTCAAAAATCATTACTTTTATAGTTTTATAATGCCAATGCCTACTCCTTAGAGAGGGAATTCCACTAGTTATACCTAAAGGAGATTTATTTATTTATTTTGTAAGGTGCCTCTTGTATGAAGAAAAAGCAATGGAGCTTAATGTGTGAGAGGTAAAACGATTACAGTAAAACTTATTCATCTCCATGTTTATTATTTATTCTTATTAATCATTGATCTAGTGCACATGACTGTGCTTGGAGCTTTTCAGTAAGGCATAGAGAGTGTCAGTAAAACTCATTTGATAAGAATATCCTCCACCAAAAGACACCCATTGCCTACCCAGAAAAAACCCTTGCATCTTCAATGCAGCATAACAAAGGCATGCTCCCATGGTTCCTGGTAAAATTAAGTTGCTCATCAGTCCTTTCACTCTCTTATACTTGATTTTGCTGAAATACAGGCTCTAATATTTTAATTCTAAAACACTTTTAGAAATGTAAGAATGTTTCTGCTCCAAACTTCACTATTCCGGGCATCTAGCCCTAGATCAGTGGAATCTGGGTAGCCCCTTCTGCAGAGATGATTACTGATTTAATTACAACAAAAGCATGTAAGTGGGGCTTGTTGCTGCTAACAAAAGGACAAATGGATATTTGTCTACAGAGTTTTTCAGGGCATTGAAAATTTGGCCCTAATAAACAAATTTTAAGAGAGCTTTTTAGGTATTGTTGCTCTATGAAAGAGCAGTTGATATGCTTGCCTAGGTGGTCTCGCCACATCAAGACCTGTGGTATGCACATGAGTGGATCTGAGATTCTCTTTACTGCAAACTTGTTTTCTGAAATTAGGCCTTCCTAAAGGATGTAAACTTGAGTAAGATTACATTAGAGCATGATTTTTGGTACCATAGCTATCAGAATCACAGCAAACCTTACAAGAGAAAGGCATAAGTTTAGTATAGCCTCACTTTGAAGCTCCTGTGAATCCTTGTCTCTTCCAAAGAGATAAGCACAACACTGGTGGGGGAGGGAGATTTTTCTGCAAAGATTGTCATCCATTTCCCTCAAAGGGGGAAAAAAATATCACCCATCTATCCTTAATCAGGACCCAACTTTTTCTTTTATAGTATTTCATGTCAATTTGTTTGAACATGAGAGAATTCAGCATATTCCTTTGGTGCCTGTGTTACAGTATATAAATATTGGGAGTCCATTGTATTACAGAGAAAAGTGAGCCCACAAACCTTGCTATGGTATGGCCTCAGATCACATGTAGGGAGCAGATTGCCATCTTTTCCTTGGCATGTTTTAAGTGTAAATTTTTTAGTATTTCTTTTTCATTTTGACAATGCTCATGTAAGGGATTGTATTGATTTTTTTAACCATCTTTCCCAACCTTATTATTAAAGATCCTACCAGTGTGACAGAAAGAGCTAAGCCAGTGGAAACTTCATGCAGCTCATCCTTCCTTATTCATTCCATATCTCAGCAAGAGTATAAATTTGCTAGGTAACTGCCTTACTCATTGTTTTCTATTAAGGAATGCCTAAACGCCTCCCACCTGGCTTCTCAGCAGGACAGGCCAATCCGAACTTTATGCAAGGTCAGGTGCCTTCCACCACAGCAACCACCCCGGGGAATTCAGGAGCCCTTCAACTGCAAGCAAATCAAAATGTCCAGCATGCAGGTTTGTTTACTTTGATTTAATTAGCCACATTTATTGAGCATTGATTATGTGGTAAACGCCTTGATACACAATAGACGTATACAAATGAACAAGTCCTTTAATTTCTCACACATAGATAATCTCTGGGAAATTTGGAAAATAAGTTATTTTTTTCAAGAACCAGGAAACACCTTAGGAAAGAAATGAAACCAGTTAGAGCAGGAGTCATACATATGCATGAACACATGTGTGCGCACATATACACACTTCCTTTTCTTTCTATAAAGGACTAAATAGTAAATAGCTTAGGTCATTTAGTCTGTATTGCAACTATTCAACTCTACTCAGTGAGGACAACAGTGTTCCAAATCCTTGCCTGTTTTCAAACCAACCATAGGCCTGATTTGCTGATCCCTGGATTAGAACTTGCTCAGGCAAAAGGCATTTCTGGGAAAAGAAACCATAAATTCACAGTTACATGGGTATATGGCATGTTTGAACATCTGCAACTTTTAAAATCTCTGGATAGTACATATTAGCTTCATTTATGCTGAATATCTAAATTCTGGTAAGCAGTGTGGCACTTTTCCAGTTCAATCAGTACCAGTCGTATAGTATATAAAAGAAAGTTTGGAGAGGAAATAACAAAAAGTGGATTGGCTAGTAAGTACACCTTGAAGCAGTTTTGTAAGCCCAAATTTCATGCTTCTGGGTTTCTTCTGGTTGCTTAGGAACTAAGTAATTTTTTGCTGTTTCTCATTGAAGTAGTTTGGACTAAGTTAGCTGAAATTTTTCTGAACTCCACCTTTCATTGTAAACTGCTTCAAGAATGAGAAGAATTCTAGGGCCTGCAAGATGTCTCAGCAGGTTAAAGTGCTTATTCTGGCCTTCCTAGCCAGTGGACACATACATGCCTACACACACATACAATAATAATAAATAAATAGATAAAAATTTAATTTTTTAAGGAATAAAAAAGAATGAGGGGCTAGAGTGATGACTCAGTGTTTAAAAAGGCTTTCTACTCCCAGAGAACCTACATTTAGTTCTCAGTATCTGTATCAGTGACTCACAACCTCCTTCACTTCTGGCTTCAAGAGATCTGATACCCTCCTCTGGCTCCATGGGCACTCATACACATGTGGCATTCATTTACACAGATAACAGATACATACACATAAATAACAATTTTAAAAGTTTTTTAAAAGAATGAGACTGGGCATGGTGGCACTTGGGAGGCAAAAGTGGGAGGATCTCTAAGTTCAAGGCCAGCCTAACCAACATAGTTCCAGAACAGCCAGGACTACATAGAGAGACCCTGTCTCAAAAAAGAAAGAATGAGAAAAATTTTGACTTGATAAATAAAAAGTTCTTATTGTCCCTTGAAAGATGAGAGGAAAGTAGAACACGCTACTTGATTTTTACTATCTGCTAATCCTGAGTTATGTAAGCTAATGTTTTATAGGAGATTTAGAAATGTATAAAATTTATAAGTCTTAGGGCCAGAGAAATGGTTCAGTGGTTAAGAGTACTGGGTGCTCTTCTAGAGGACCAGGGTTTGCTTCCCAGCTCACTCCAATTCCAGGGAATCTGAATTCCTCTTCTGGCCTATGAGGCACCAAGCATAGATGTGGTATACAAATATATATATAGGCAAAACACCCATACACATAGAATCAAATTCATAATTCTTCCACCCTGGCACAGCTATTATCTTTTTTTTTTTTTTTTTTTTTTTTTTTTTTTTTTTTTTTTTTTTTTTTTTTTTTTTGAGACAGGGTTTCTCTGTGTAGCTTTGCGCCTTTCCTGGAACTCACTTGGTAGCCCAGGCTGGCCTGGAACTCACTTGGTAGCCCAGGCTGGCCTCGAACTCACAGAGATCCGCCTGGCTCTGCCTCCCGAGTACTGGGATTAAAGGCGTGCGCCACCACCGCCCGACAGCTATTATCTTTTTAAATGAAGACTTCCATGTGTCCCTATTGTTTTGATTTCTCCATTGAGTCTGACTAAAGCAGCGTCCTCTTGTCTGCCATTTTCTAGTTTCTTACCCTGTTTTATTTTTGTGTTAACTTTTATTATTTACTGACAAGTTGTCTTTTTATATTTTGTCTCTTGCCAACTATGCTCTAAAGAAGCAAAGGTCTTACCTATCCTGTTTATTGATACTAAATCAGCACTGAAAATACTCAATAAATAATTACTGCTTGGATAACTATATACTTGCATATGACATATACAGTGGATGTGAAGTTCATGTTTGAATTTATGAGGCTGGATTAGAAAGCCTTCCTGAAATTCAGGAGAAATTGTCATAGAGTGAATGGGCAGTTTATGCTTACCCCTCAAGCTAGAGCGTGGACTGGCTTTGTAACTTCATTAGATTGCCACTTAATAGTGCCTATTTAAAGTTAGATAGATAGATAGATAGATAGATAGATAACAGAGATAGGGCATAATTCATTTGGTAAAGAGCTTGCTGTAGAAGCATGAGAACCACAGTTTGAATCCCAAGAACCCACATAAAAGCTGAATGAGTGTGACAGCTACCTATAGTTGCTGTGCACATGTACATACATAGATCAAAAATGACAAGGATAAAATAAATCACATGAGCTCAACGGATGTATAGCACAGTAATAGAGTTATTGCCCAGCAGGTAAGATACCTTAGGTTCATTGTTTTTATTTTTGGTGTTTTGAAATAAGATCTTACTATGTAGCCCAGGCTAGCCTTGAACTTGTGACAGTTCTCTGGCTTCAGCCTTCTAGGTGCTAGGATTACAGGCATGAGCCACTATGCCCAGCTGAGATTTTTTTTTAAGCCAAACACAGTAGTGCAGATAAAGGCAGGATGGATCACATTGTTTCAGAGCAGCCTGCTGTATAGTGAGGCCCCATCTCAACAGAACAAACAGTACGCTGGAGGGTTACTCAGTGAATCAGGTTGGGTAGATTGGGAGTGTAATAGAATACATGCTAGGTAGTCTCCAGTACCACAGTGAGATTTGGGAATAAAGCAGGTAGCTATAGGAAAATCCCAAGGACCCAACAACAAACAAACAATGCAGCAGGCCAAGACAGTACCTTTGGTTTAAAGAGGACTTAGAGCATGTCCCCTGTGGTCCATGAGGGACTGCCACAGAGTAGGATCACTAAACTTTTAGGATCCTCCTGTTCACAACTTCCACATCAGAAGTTTGTCATTTTTAGGTTACTTCAGAGGAACCCTCTTCTTAGGAAATATTGTATATTATCTTCTTTAAAGTGCAGCATCCAGATTTCACACACATAGTTTTTGAAAGGCGTAATTACTTTCCCAAGAAGCGTTTTTTTAAATGTCTTTATAGTATTTCTGAGTTTTTTCTAGAGGACACTGATACATTCTTTGTTTCCTTCACTTAGTCATAATAAAGCTCATTTTCTAGCCCATGGTATTTTTTGTTAATTTTTATTCACAATAAGATAGTTAAGCTTTGTTATAACAGTGGTAATGCTTCATTTAATCTGAAAGTAAACTTTATTTTTTAATGTTATCTTTAAGTTACTATATAAGAGTAAAGATATGTTTCTCCTGCTATATGATCATGGAAAATAAAAGCAGTTACCCCATTCTATATCATACCTCCAGAGTCTAAAATACTCACAGAGTGTCAAACACATTTATGTTGGTTATTAGGTACATGGATGATGAGTGTTTTTCAAGGTAATTTGAGTATCTTAATAATTTGATGATAATTTTTCATTCTTTGTTTTTATTTCTTAAGGTGGTCAAGGAGCTGGTCCTCCTCAAAACCAGATGTCTCACGGGCCACCAAACATGATGCAACCCAGCCTCATGGGAATTCATGGCAACATAAACAACCAGCAGGCTGGTAGCTCTGGAGTTCCTCAGGTGACCCTGGGCAACATGCAAGGCCAGCCTCAGCAGGGCCCACCATCTCAGCTGATGGGCATGCACCAACAGATCGTACCCTCTCAGGGCCAAATGGTCCAGCAACAAGGAACTTTGAACCCTCAAAACTCTATGATCCTTTCAAGGGCCCAGCTTATGCCACAGAGCCAGATGATGGTGAACCCTCAGAACCAAAATCTTGGGCCTTCACCCCAAAGGATGACCCCACCCAAGCAAATGCTTCCCCAGCAGGGCCAACAGATGATGGCACCACACAACCAGATGATGGGGCCGCAGGGGCAAGTTTTGCTCCAGCAGAACCCAGTGATAGAGCAAATAATGACCAATCAGATGCAGGGAAGTAAGCAGCAATTTAACACTCAGAACCAGTCCAGTGTCATGCCGGGACCAGCACAGATAATGAGGGGACCAACTCCGAACATGCAAGGAAACATGGTGCAATTTACAGGACAGATGTCAGGACAGATGCTGCCTCAGCAAGGGCCTGTGAACAACAGTCCATCTCAGGTTATGGGGATTCAGGGGCAGGTTCTGCGGCCACCAGGGCCCAGCCCACACATGGCCCAGCAGCATGGTGATCCTGCTACTTCAGCAAACAGTGATGTCAGCTTGTCTCAGATGATGCCTGATGTTAGCATGCAACAAACCAACATGGTTGCTCCACATGTGCAGACCATGCAGGGAAACAGTGCTTCAGGAAACCACTTCTCAGGCCATGGGATGTCTTTCAATGCACCATTCAGTGGTACACCCAATGGAAACCAGATGTCTTGTGGTCAAAATCCAGGCTTCCCAGTCAATAAGGATGTAACATTAACAAGTCCATTGTTGGTCAACTTATTGCAAAGTGACATTTCTGCAGGCCATTTTGGTGTAAACAATAAACAAAATAATACCAATGCAAATAAACCGAAGAAGAAGAAACCACCTCGGAAAAAGAAGAATTGTCAGCAAGATCTAAAGTAGGTTACAATCAGTTAACCTCAAATATTGCTCATTTGTTTCTGTGTAGACATTTGTTCATAGAAGTTTTTAATCATATTTAAAATTAGGGCTGGGAATGTGGCTCTGCAGAGTGCCTATCCACCATGCACAAGGTCTGGACATAAAACAGGTGTGGTGGTAGACTCCTGTAACTCCAGCAGCATGTGGTAGCAGGAGAATCAAGAGTTCAAGGTCATCCTCCAAAAATTTGAAGTCAACCTGTGCTCCATGAAACCCTTTCTCTAAATTTAGGATAGTACAATTCTCAGTTCATAGTTTATCTTGTCTTCATCTGTCCTCTTTTCCATTGTCTTTTTGTTTATTTTAAGGTAAATTTGCTTTGTAAAGATGTCAGTGCCACTCTAAATGATAAAGATAGTTCTTTTATAATCAGTTACCCTTTCAGTAAAAGTTCCCCAGAGGAGCTCTTTCATAAGATACAACAGGAAAGGTAATTAACAATTACATTTCATACCCAAAAACTACATACTCAGTTATGTTTCTGACTTTTGACTAAATGTTTCTTGAAGGAGTATTGTTTGAGGTAGATTTTCAGCCTTTTAATCATAAAACTGGAGTTCAGAGACATTATTAACAGAGACTAATGAACATAAAACAGTTTTAGACAAATTGCCAGGCCAAGTATGGTGACTCAAAGTTTTCATCTCAACACTGAAGAAAAGCTAAGACAGGAGGCTAGCTTTGGCTACATAGTGAGACCTTGGAGAGAAGGGGGAAAGGCTGAGGATGTAAAGACCAGAAACAGAAAACTCAAACAAGGGAGCTTTGTTGAAATAAGCTTAAATATAAAGCCAGCTCCTTCACCCAAGCCTACAATGTTCTTTGGTTTTAACCTATTATAGTATCTGCTACTTCTTGATTATTAAATATTAAAAGCCAATCCTTATATATTAACAACATATATTTTTGTGAATTCAGACTTAAACACTACCTCATTTTCTTAGACCTGGTCCTCAGTTCAATTCCTGCTGTTATCAGCCTGTCTGACTAACGTTTTTCTGGTGATAGGTTCCCTCACATAGGCTGGAAGTAAACTTGCAGTTACTCATTTGCCATGAGTATGCATTTGTGCTGATGTCACCAGCCTTCTGAGAGATCGTAACTGTTCATTCAGACTTTTAAAAGTACCTGTACAGCATTGGGGTTCCTAGGAAGAGGAGACAGCAGGCTGAATAGGAAGATAACCTGCCTCCAGTTCTGCTGTTAGCTTACTGGGAAGCCTGTTTTATACAACTAGGGCTTTTGTTTTCTCATCCATAACCAAGGGGGCAGATAACTGAATTTTGGTGGTTTTTTTTTTTCTTTCTTTCTTTCTTTCTTTCTTTCTTTCTTTCTTTCTTTCTTTCTTTCTCTCTCTCTCTCTCTCTCTCTCTTAGTTATAAATTTGTGTTTTTTTTTTCTTTAAAGTGAAAGATAGCACAGACTCCTCATTTGTGATTTGAAGTAAGTAAGTAGTCATATAAGGAACAAAGTGGCAGAGTGATTGGGTTGTGCTTTAGGAGCTGTTACGTGCAGGGAGTTTGGGGTTTTTCCCTCTCTAGTTTTTATGTGTATGGGTAGTTTGGCTGTGAGTATGTCTGTGCACTAATGCATGTGTATCTGGTGCCACAAGAGGCCAGAAAAGGGTGTCTTGTTTCCTGGATCTGGAGTGACACAGTTGGGAGCTGCCACCATGGGTATACTGGGAATTGAACCTGATCCTCTGGAAGAACAGCCAGTGCTCGTGACCTCTGAGCCATCTCTCCAGCCCTGTGTTACTGCTGGTGCTTTTCTTTAAAATGAATTTATGTGGTTTATAAAACTACGTAGAGTGTAATGGGACAAAATACTATCTAAAAGTGGATGACTGTAATCAGATCAAAGGGAAACTATGGTAGGAAAGAAAGGTACAACTGGGAATAAGAAACACACCAAATAAGGAATACAAGCACTATGGTTTCTCAAAAATGTGGATGTTAAGCATCAGTCTTTAAAACACCTAAGGGGTGTGTCATTATATGAAACATTGTATCAGGAATTAGAAGGAGACACTCAGTAAGTACAATGCTAGGATTAAGTGAATTTTTTTTTTTTTTTTTTTTTTTTTTTTTGGTTTTTCGAGACAGGGTTTCTCTGTGTAGTTTTGCGCCTTTCCTGGAACTCACTTGGTAGCCCAGGCTGGCCTCGAACTCACAGAGATCCACCTGGCTCTGCCTCCCGAGTGCTGGGATTAAAGGCGTGCGCCACCACCGCCCGGCTGGATTAAGTGAATTTTAAGGCTTAATGAGATGGCCAGTTTACTCTTACGTCGGTATTGAGTGTCCACACTAGAAAGATACAAATAATGATGAGAATGATATGTAAACATATTGTAGTTGTAGGTAGGAAGAGATTGAGCTAGGTTCATGTATTTCTTATACAACTTACTCGGTTGGTACTACTTACCTTTTAGCACCCCAGATAATCGTACTGCTGGTCTAGAGGAGGCTGATCAACAGTCATTACCTGGAGAACAAGGAATCAACTTGGACAACACAGGCCCTAAACTGCCAGAATTTTCAAACCGGCCACCAGGTAATAAAATACTAGCTAAAATTACATCCTTTGCATTGCATATACACTTTTACCAGGCTTCTTTCTCTTCAAGAAAACGATAATGCTTTGTCTGCTAACTAGTCTGCTTCAGACATTGAATGTGTAAGCTCTGCACTGATATTTAAGTAAATACTTCAAGTTTAACTTCTGTAGGCATACATGTAAATTCACACTTGCACACCTGCTTAATTGGCTTCATTAGAAGTCCGCAAATCAAACTGAATGGAAAGGGGCTTTTTTTGGTCAGCATGGTAGTTCTAGTTGGCATCAGAATAAAATATAATAATATAGAGAACTTTTCACTGTATCCTGCTTGCCTGCAGTTCTTACTTCCATAGACTTTCTCAAAGCAGAGAACTACTACTAGGATTTAAAACAAGATGACATCTTGTGATTCTTTAAAACATAAGTAGTATATGAAAAGTAACAAAATACATGCCCATGTGACCACTGTCAGCTTAATAGCTTATAATGAATAGTGCCAATAGTATTGAAGCCCCTTCTTTGATTATAGAATGTTTTCTTTTCAATGTTAAAGGACGTAGGTTTATGAAAATCTAAAATTCATTCAGGTATTATGGAACCAAAACCAGATACCACAATATCTCTACACCTGTTTTTTCTTGGCCTAAACAATGACTTATAACTTTATTCCAGAATGACAGTCAAAGTTTCCCAAGCCCTCTCCAATGGATATAAAGAGTTAATTGGGCCAGCCTGGTCTACAGAGTGAGTTCCAGGACAGCCAGGGATACACAGAGAAACCCGGTCTCAAAAAAACGGAAGCGGGCCGGGCGGTGGTGGCGCACGCCTTTAATCCCAGCACTCAGGAGGCAGAGGCAGGCAGATCTCTGTGAGTTCGAGGCCAGCCTGGTCTACAGAGCGAGATCCAGGAAAGGCGCAAAGCTACACAGAGAAACCCTGTCTCGAAAAACCCCAAAAAAAAAAAAAAAAAAAAAAACGAAGCAGGGGAAGAGTTAATGCTTTATTTCTTCCTCCTGAGTAATTTTACCTCCTTTTTGGCATAGTAAAAGTGATATTATTATTTTTAGGGCTAACCTTTAGTCTACCTTTAATTTATATATTTCAAAAGTTCATCCATTATGATGTCAAGACTTGATGTTACTTATTACAAATTGCTTAGTGTACTACAGTTGTCACTAATGAGTCACAGCAACACTGGTGAAGCTAGGTAGTCTCTAGTCCTTGGTGAGTATGTTCAGAAGACATTGTGAGCAGGAAGGTAGGTCCTTCTTACTCAGGCATATCTGAACTCTTGTGTGGATTCCTGAATTCCTTCAAACATTTATTTCCTCCTTTCTGCAAACTGGGAACCTGCAGGCTGAATTTGGCCTTTAATGGATTTGAATTGCTATTGGTGTCTAAACAAATACCTGAGTTTAATTGACTTTAGAAATAGGCGATTGCTCTGCAGTTGGGCAGTGTCCACAGAACCCTGCTGGTTTATGCAGCCTAACTTCTCTTCTTTACTTCTGCCTGGCCCCTAAAGGCTTCAAGGCTTTGTATCCCTTGACTAATAAATGTAGTTATTGATTGTGTTATGGGGCATTGTACATACCTGGCTTTCCCTCTCGACCCCAATCTGTCTTCCTATCATTGAGCCCACTGGGACTGTTTCCTCTAGCTTCTGGACCCTTTAAGCCTTTAGCTCTGACTTTTGAGAGGCTGCTGTGTCATCTCTATTACTGTCTTTGGTATTTACTGTGCTGTCTGATAAACTCACTTTAAAGATGAAAAGTATCTGTGTTATAACCCTGACCCAAACAAACTTTTTCAGAAATTACGATTTTCTTAATGTAGGAACCCCAGACTATATAAGAACCCGTTGTGCTTGACCTGTTGGAATGCCAGATTTATAAATGTCAAAAAGTTACTTGGGCCTAAAACAAAACAAAACAAAATAAAGGATTTTAAAGAAAATCTTCAAAATTGAGCCAGGTGTGGTGGCACAGGCCTGTCTATATTCCCAGCATTTGCAGGTGGAGGCAGGAGGGTTAGCAGTTCAAGACCATCCTCAGCTACATAATGAGTTTAAGGCCATCCTGGGATACTTGGGACCCTGTCACCAAAAATCAAAGACAAACAAACAAATAAAAACAACTTCAGAACTGGACTCTGCTCGTTGGTACCGTGGAGATCTTTCCAGAAGACAGTAACTCTGTTGAGCACAGAGTCTAACCAAAGTGTTGGTAGTCGCTCTGAGAAAATCTTGACCCAGAATTTCTTCCAGCTGCCAGAGCCAGTTATTCATGTTCTTGTACTTTCTGGAAACCTTCCAAATTATTTTTCATGCAACAGTGGAATAAATATAATAATGGAATCACATCCCCAGCATATGCCCACTTTCCTACACTGAACCACCTTTATTCTTGGTTTAATTTAATCTTCCTTCTCTTTAAGCTGATTGTATATGGTTTTTATTCAGAAATTTCAAGTAAATCATTACAAAAGAGGGAATCATATAGAGGTTGTCTTCTTCAGATCTGGAAGGCATTGTTCCTCAAAGTTTTTGTCCTCAAATTATCTTTTATTCCTGAGGTCTGTTCTTCTGGCTTATTTATTCTCCAATTGTGGATTCATAGATAATACTTTTCCAAATAAAGATTTCTATATACAAAAGTAAATAGAGATGAATATGCATAAAAATTTTACTATTTCATTTTATTTCAACATAATTGCTCTCTGTTTATTAAACTGATGCAACCTAGGGGCAATACAGTACATTCAGCTTTCCCCAAAGGATGGAACCCAGAGGATACAGCATAGTCCATAGGAGACCATGAACCAGAGTAATTGAAATCCCATTTCAAAGAACTCAATCTTAAAATTATATCTTTTACTTTTATTGAAGGAATAAAAAGGCTGTTTTCATCAAAACCAAGTCTTGAGAAAAACAAGTTCTCTGCTACGAAAAGAAAGCGGTTTCTAAATATTTTATTTCCCATGCACAGTGAAATACTGATTATTTCTACATGAGACCTAAATACTGGGCAGCCACCCATTTGCTGTCGATAGAGTTTTTTTCTTTTCATGTTCAGCTCGTAGATTCAACTATTTATAGTGCATAACACAGTCTTAATACAGTAATGCTTCATTTGCAGCCTAAACCCCAAGGGGCTTCATGTTCTTAATGCTTTGCTTTTTGCGTCCTTAAGCAGTGTGCCCCCTTGCTTGTGTCAGATAATGAGGGGCTGTCCTGGGAGCAGCATGCCTGAGCTGTTTGTGCACAGTCTGCTACCTATGAGTACTGCTTAGCTATACTCTAAAGGTAGCAAAGTTTTCTTGCTGAAAAATCTAACTTCCCTGATTTTGGGGGGCTTGTTTTAGGTTATCCTACTCAACCAGTTGAACAGAGGCCACTGCAGCAGATGCCTCCTCAACTCATGCAGCATGTGGCACCCCCACCACAGCCACCACAGCAGCAGCCACAACCACAACTGCCTCAGCAGCAGCAGCAGCAGCCACCACCACCTAGTCAGCCACAGTCTCAGCAGCAGCAGCAGCAGCAACAACAACAACAACAACAACAAATGATGATGATGCTCATGATGCAGCAAGATCCTAAATCCATTAGGCTTCCAGTCTCCCAAAATGTCCATCCTCCACGGGGTCCTCTGAACCCAGACTCCCAGAGAATGCCCATGCAGCAGAGTGGCAATGTCCCTGTCATGGTTAGTTTGCAAGGACCTGCTTCTGTGCCACCATCACCTGATAAACAAAGAATGCCAATGTCTGTGAATACTCCGTTGGGAAGTAATTCAAGGAAAATGGTATACCAGGAGAACCCACAGAATTCTTCTAGCTCACCACTAGGAGAGATGTCCTCACTTCCTGAAGCTAGTGGCAGTGAAGTGCCATCTGTTTCAGGAGGCCCAAATAACATGCCCTCACATTTAGTAGTTTCTCAGAATCAATTAATGATGACAGGGCCCAAATCTGGACCATCTCCCCTTTCAGCAACTCAAGGTGCAACTCCCCAGCAACCTCCTGTAAATTCCTTGCCCAGCTCCCATGGCCACCACTTTCCAAATGTTGCTGCTCCAGCCCAGACATCTAGGCCTAAAACTCCAAACAGAGCCAGCCCCAGACCCTATTATCCTCAGACACCCAACAACCGCCCTCCCAGTACAGAACCTTCAGAAATAAGTCTGTCACCAGAAAGACTCAATGCCTCCATAGCAGGACTCTTCCCTCCACAGATTAATATTCCTTTACCTCCCAGGCCAAATTTAAATAGGGGCTTTGATCAACAGGGCTTGAATCCAACCACTCTGAAGGCCATTGGGCAAGCACCTTCAAATCTTACCATAAATAATCCTCCTAACTTTGCTGCCCCACAGTCTCATAAAGTAGATTCTGTAGTGGTGAATTCTGGAAAACAGTCTAATCCTGGGACAACAAAACGGGCAAGTCCAAGCAACAGTCGCAGGTCTAGTCCTGGGTCCAGTAGGAAAACTACCCCAAGTCCTGGAAGGCAAAATTCAAAAGCCCCTAAACTTACTCTGACTTCTCAACCAAGCACAACCCTGTTGCAGAACATGGAGCTGCCTAGAAATGTGTTGGTCAGTCCCACTCCTATTGCCAATCCCCCTGTATCTGGAAGCTTTCCTAACAGTAGTGGGCTTAATCCCCAGAATCCCGCCGTCCCTGCGCCTGCAGTGGGGGCTGTTCTTGAGGATAACAAAGAGAGCTTGAACGTTCCTCAGGACAGTGATTGCCAGAGTTCCCAGGGTAGGAAAGAGCAGGTAAATGTTGAGCTGAAAGTAGTCCCTACCCAGGAAGCTAAAATGGTTGTTCCTGAAGATCAATCAAAAAAGGACGGGCAACCTTTGGATCCTAACAAACTCCCCAGTGTTGAAGAGAACAAAACTTTGATGTCTCCTGCCATGAGAGAAGCACCAACATCATTAAGCCAACTTCTTGACAACTCTGGAGCTCCTAATGTGACCATTAAACCCCCTGGGCTTACAGACCTGGAAGTAGCACCTCCAGTAGTTTCAGGGGAGGACCTCAAAAAAGCATCTGTCATTCCCACACTGCAGGATCCGTCTTCTAAAGAAACCTCTAATTCCTTAAATTTACCTCACAGTAATGAGCCATGCTCAACCCTTCCGCATCCAGAATTGAGTGAGGTCAGCTCTAATGCTGCACCAGGCATCCCTCCAGTCATGTCAAGACCTGTCAGCTCTTCCTCCATTTCTACTCCTTTGCCCCCAAACCAGATAACTGTATTTGTTACTTCCAATCCCATAACCACTTCATCTAACACATCAGCAGCCCTGCCAACAAACTTGCATTCTGCATTGATGTCAACAGTCGTCACAATGCCCAACGTGGGTAACAAAGTTATGGTTTCTGAGGGACAGTCCGCTGCTCAGTCTAACGCCCGGCCTCAGTTCATTACACCTGTCTTTATTAATTCGTCTTCAATAATTCAGGTTATGAAAGGATCACAGCCAAGCACAATTCCTGCAACCCCATTGACAACCAACAGTGGCCTGATGCCTCCCTCCGTCGCAGTTGTTGGACCTTTACACATACCTCAGAACATAAAATTCTCTTCAGCTCCTGTGGCCCCCAGTGTCCCCTCCAGTAGCCCTGCTCCAAACATACAGACAGGCCGGCCGTTGGTCCTTAGCTCCCGAGCCACTCCTGTTCAGCTGCCTTCCCCTCCTTGTACATCCTCTTCAGTCGTCGCTCCTAATCCTATCCAGCAAGTAAAAGAATTAAATCCAGATGAGGCTAGTCCTCAGCTGAACACCTCAGCAGATCAGAGCACTCTGCTCTCTTCACAGTCAACCACAGTAGTCTCTCCCCTTTTGACCAATAGTCCAGGCTCCTCTGCCAATCGGCGAAGCCCAGTCTCATCCAGTAAGGGCAAAGGAAAAGTGGACAAAATTGGCCAGATTTTGCTGACCAAGGCTTGTAAGAAAGTTACAGGCTCTCTGGAGAAAGGGGAAGAACAGTATGGTGCAGATGGAGAGTCTGAAGGCCCAGGGCTAGAGACCACAACTCCTGGGCTAATGGGAACAGAACAGTGCTCCACGGAGCTGGACAGTAAAACCCCAACACCCTCAGCACCCACGCTACTAAAAATGACCTCTAGCCCCATGGGCCCAAGCTCCACCTCAACAGGACCCATCTTACCTGGCGGTGCTCTCTCCGCCAGTGTACGCTCAATAGTAACCACACTGGTACCCTCTGAGCTCATCTCCACAGCACCAACCACAAAAGGCAATCCTGGTGGCGTAGCATCTGAGCCACTTGCAGGTGGCCTAGTGGAGGAGAAGGTGGGATCTCATCCAGAGCTTCTACCCAGCATAGGTATGTACTTGAGCTTGGCATCAGCTCCTCATGTCAGTTTTTGCTGGCCTGTCCCACAAGAGAGAAAGCATGAGCCCTTTTTACTTAAAGGAAGAAAAATGGCCATAGTCATAGACTTACTAACTGAAAGGACATTGAAAAATATACTTTTAAATCCCATGTTCTGTTTATATTCATTAACATGGTTCTTTCCTGGCTTCTAAACATGTTTCATTTCCATATATATATAAAAAGCATTTTCATACACTGTCTCACATCATCTTTATACCAACCATGTAATGTAGTCTTACTCCTTCCTATGGGTGAAAAGATTGAAGCTCAGAAATGCTTAATATTTGTTGAGCCTATACTGTAAGTCTCCAGCCTGGCATGGTCCCTTGGGTGTGAACAAAGACTTCGCTATACCCTTTCCCATCATGAAGACTTACTTGTTCTCTTTGCCTTGTCCTCATAGTGTACTAAACTCAGGGACCTTTCTGATTGGCTGCTCCAGAAAATCTTACCAGAAAACCAGGTTTCATGATAAATAAAAGAAGATCCAAGTCGGGAAGAGTCAGACAGGCTTGAGTTGATAACTGTACCAGCATTTGCCAGCTTGATGGGCTGGGGCAAGTTTTACTTTTCCTCCTTTGTAGTGTGGAGACAATAATAGTTACAAGATCTCAGTGAGGTAATGCATGTGATATGCTTAGCATAGGACCTAAAATATGGTAATTGATCATCCATGGTTTAAGTGTTATTGCCCATTTCCTTTGGACATGGTCTCTTTGTAAATTACAACAATGGATATCCAGTTCAGGTTATTTCCTGTGTACTGCAGAGGGAGTTAATAGTGGAAGCCTAGGTGTCCCTACAGCTCCTTACTCCTTTGAGGCTCAAATGATGCAGAAGCGCCAAGCATGTTCTTAGAGACTAGTCAGTCTTAATGGTGCCCATACTTAAGAGGCCTCTATCATATCTAAGCTAATAATACCACTTTTATTTATGCAGCTAAAATAGTTTGAGTGCCTACTAATTAGGAAAAGGAACAAATACAAGCTTTAGGTTATGATCGGAGTTCAAATTTTAGCTCCACTGGTTGCCAGTTACACAGTCTAGTAAGTTCCTTGTACTTGACTTGTAAAGTGGAGATTGTAATTCTACCTCCCAGAATATGTAGGATTCAGTGAGAACTTGAATATCAAGTGCCAGCCTACTGCCTCAGATAGAGATCTGGAAAGGTTCCTTCCCTTCTTCTCCTGCTTACCTCAGTGTTAGAGATGCAGGGAGGGGTGAGGCCTGCAAAGAGTTCATTGTCTTTATAGGAGAGAGGGACTTTGCTAGAGAGGGCTCTGTGTTTCAAGTGTGAATTTTGTTGATGTAGGTAACTAAGAATTTTTAAAAAAGCTGGGCATAATGATGCACGCGTATAATCATAGCACTTGGGAGGAGGAGGTAGGGAGATCAAGAGCAGGGCCATCCTCGGCTACATACTGAGTTTGGGGCCAATCTAAGCTGCATGAGACCATGTTCTCTGCTGCTGAATATTTCCATTTCTGTTTCCTTTCAGGGAACTTTTCCCTCTGATACTAAGAGAATAATGATGAAGTAATTAGAAAATGTTTTTATTTGGGTCACAAATAATAATAAACATGGAAGCTTTGGGGAGATAAACTAGCAATTAGAAAGGGTTCCGTTCTAGTTAAGACTGCCTACTTTGTTGTAGTTGGTTCTATTCTTTTCCAAGGGACTTCTGTGCTTTTATCTTGAAAAATGTGAGAAACCAATCTGAAGTTAAGTAGATATTAAGATATAATTTTATGCTTCATCAGAGAAGCATCCAGAATAAACTCTTTGATTACTAAGCACAGAGAGAAATCTATAAAATTCAGTTTCCACCAAAGGATAAAACTTATTCTTGTAGTTTGCCACAAATTTGAGGCTGAAGTGTTAAGATGAGAGGACACACCCTTGACAGCTCTGGCAGACCGGAGCCTTAAATTTTTACTGAATGATCCAGGAAGGTTCTGTTCTAGAGTGTACGTGTATTCTTGTTCTCAAGGATCTTAAGTTCTTTCTGCCTTTCAAAGACTAATTTCTATCTTTAATGTTCCTTTACATTTTCAGCCTAGCATATTCTTTTGCTTTGGACTCCCATGGCACTTTACACTTTATGTAGTCTCTTTCCATGTGACATCATAGTGCAGTGTACCACATGTATTTATCTTATCTTCAATACTAGGCTGAATTTCTGATATGCAAAAAGACGCAATCTCTGAGGATGCCTGGCACAGTGTCTTGCCTCTAGAAAGTTCTTAAAACTATTTATTAGAAAAGTAAATAATTACATATTGATTTACTCATTTAGGTATAAATTTATTGTCTGTTTTATGCCCATCACTCTTGCTAGATGCTATAGAAGAGCACAGAATGGTGTGTTTTAGTAATCAAGGAGTATGTTTAGTCTCTAGAGGGATAAGTCAGAAGTTTTTAAATGTTGAGGGATTGGTATATTCTAAAAGTAGCTAGGTTGCTTGCTAAGACAGTTTTTAATTTTTTAAGAAAACAGCAGTCAGGCCTAGTGTGGTGGCACATGCTTAAAATCCCAGTACTGTGGAGGCTGAAGCAGAAGGATCAAGAGTTTAAGACCACTCTGAGGAAACTGAGTAAGACCCTGTCTGAAAACCAAACAAAAAGAAAAGGAGTCATGACCTGAAATTGGCCCTAAAATTGTGATTACTGTTGTTCTCGTGCCCTCCCCTCACTGGTTCTTTATATCTGCACAAAGGAGGAACAGACTGTGGAGTGGGAGGCCTTGCTGCTGAGGATTAGATTGGCTGCTTTGTTAAGGGCATAGTGAAGGTCAGCTTCAAGCACTGCCTTCTAAGAACGTGGTGGCTCAGCAGTGACTTAGTTGCTTGGTTAATGCTTTCTGGTTTAGTTAGAAAAAAAAGTAAAAGACCTGTTTGTTTGTTTGTTTCTTGCCTCAGCCCCTTCACAGACTTTAGTCCCAAAGGAGATTGCAGCCACAGCACTGCAGGGGCCTGTTGCCAGACCAGGTAAGGCGCCATCTAGAATATTTTCTTGGAGTGGGTTACATGGGAAGGAGTCAGTGCTGTCCTCACTGTCACGTGTTCTCATGCCAGTAAGTACCTGGGACTGTCTACCTACTTGTTTCCAAGCCAATTTGAGTTGAGTGGGGGAACTTGTGTAGTACTTTTCCCAACCAACCTGTTCATTTTCACATTTGTTGTGTTAGCCAGAGAGCTCAAGAAGGGCATAGCGTACTCATTGTCTGCCATCCAACCCTGAGTTGTTTTCTGTGTTCCACGATCCTGCTATCCATGGCTGGCAGCCAACTAGTTGGCATATGGTTGCTTACTGGGGTGGCAAGCATGAGTGCACCAAAATATAGCTGGATTATCATGGCAGATATAGAGGTGTATTTCGAGCCCCTCTGCTCACAGTGAATCATCCCAGCCATCTCTGGATGGCTTTAAGTTGCTCCCTGTGGCCAAGATATTGTAAGTAGTCCTAGTAAATAGTACTAGGGGTGGTGTTTCTGGAAGGAGGAGTCAGTTGTAGTCTAACAGATAGCTGCTGTGACATGCTGGGTCAGCTCTGAACACACAAGTATCTTGATAGCAATAAGAACACTTCTGCTTGAGACCACCAGAGCAGATGAGTATCATGGATGTGTTTAGTTTTACTTGGTTCTTGGTCACACAAGGTTGTTGAAGGGTACAAAAAAGAAAGTATGACTGGTTCCCAAAGAAAGTTAGAATATCATTGACAGTGTAAACTTGGGCCGATGGCTCAGTAGGTAAGAGCACTTAATGCTCTTTCAGAAGACCGGAGTTCACTTCCCAGTACCCACATCCAGTGGTTCCTAAGTGCCTATAACTCCAGCTCCAAGGGATCTGAGGTCTCCTTGGCCGCCTCTTTGGACACCCTCATGCATATCACACATGTCGGATGCGCACACACACACTTAAAAAAAAATAAAACAAAACTTTTTATTGAAAATATACACCTGCCAGGTGGTGGTGGCGCATGCCTTTAATTCCAGCACTCAGGAGGCAGAGGCAGGCAGATCTCTGTGAGTTCGGGGCCAGCCTGGTCTACAGAGTGAGTTACAGGACAGGCTCTAAAGCTACATAGAGAAACCCTGTCTCGAAAAAAAAAAAACAAAAAACAAAAATGAAAGTATACACATGACCAAATTTTTAAGAAAAATGACTTTGTGAGTGTAAGCCAATAAAAATAAGATACAGTTTGTATTTTAAAACTTGCCTCAGGGTTCTATACCCTGTATGACTTTCCTGCACGCTGTGAAAAGAATAAATGTGCAAAACACATGTCAGCCACCGCATTTTCTTTCCCTTGCTCCTAACCACCTACATGATAACCAACATTGTACTGTGCATTTTGGAACAGAGAAATGGTTAAGAAAAGGGGTTCTGTAGTAATATTCTTTTTTTTTTCCTAGCAAAAAGACTAACTAGAAATGGAAAAGGAATTCCATTTCCTGCTGCAAATGTTTTTAAATTTTATTCTTTAACAGTTTTATATATGTTTATAATGTATTTTGATCATATTTACACCCTCCCATTACCTTCTCTTATCCCACTTCCCTCTTCCCAACAGGTCCTCTTCCTACTCTCATGTACCTTTGTTTTAATGACCCACTGAGTTTAATTTGGGCTTCTTGCTATAAGCATGGTTGTGTGGTTATTTACTGGAACATGAATAGCTTACCAGTGACTACACCATTGAATTAAACTGACCCCCCACAGCCTACCAGCAGCCATAATCTGTCAATAGCTCCTCAGGTAGAGGTGGAGCCTCATGAGCCCTTCCCTAATCCATGATGCTGCCCTGACTCTTTACTCCAGAAAATGGGATGTTACTGTTTTTCTTTCTTATCAGAGTGATTGACTAGGGAACCCTGTTCCTTTTTAAAGTTTAATTTATATTAATCTCTTTAAAATCACCTCAGAAGCCAAGTGTGGTAGCATACACTTCTAATCCCAGCACTCAAGAGGCAGAGATAGGAAGATTAGGAATTCAAAAATCATCCTTAGCTACAAAATAAGGTTGATGCCACCTGGGCTTCATGGAACTCTGCCTCAAAAACATAGAACTATAACACCCTCAGAACCTTCCACTTATATAAATTAGTGGAAAAGTTCTCAAAATCAACTTCTGTGTCATCTTTCAAAAGAACACACAAGCTGGGCAGTCACACATGCCTTTATCCTAGCACGAGGCAAGCAGATCTCTGTGAGTTTGAGGTCAGCCTCCTCAAAAATTAAGTTCCAGAACAGCCACGGCTACATAGAGAGACTTTGTCCCAAAACACAAACAGAATTACTTAATTTAAAACTAAGACTAAAAGAGCAGACTAGCCTGATGTAGCACACACAGAATCCCAGCACTTAGGAAGCTGGGGCAGGAGGATTACTAGTATGAGGCCCAAGCAGGCTGCATATGGAGCTCCAGGCAGCTTGTGCTATGGAGGAGGGTGCTGGGAACAGGTGGGGGTGGCAGCTCTTCAAGGTTAGCACGGCTTTTTGTTTGAACCAGTTTTATTATTGAGCATATATTAGGTGGATTTCTGTGCTCCAGCTGACCCAGCAAGGAAATAGAGACCCAAGAAGGAGTTAGTGTCTGTTTCTTGTGGCAGTATTTCAGATCTAATAGGAGAGATTCTGGGAGCTAGGCAGAAGACAGGAAGCAAAGATTCCCTCTGCCAGAATTTTTCATTGAAGGCAGTGAAGTCCAGCCGCCTCGCAGGAAAAGTACAAAGTGACCATCATAGCAACAAATAATAACAGTTAATATTGATTTATTATTAAGTACCGGGTACTATATTAAAACTCATGTGTATTATTTCAGTTTAATCTTAACATTAAAGCAGATAATGCAGTCACCTGTACTTCACATATGAGGCATTGAGTCCTAAAAAGGCAAATAATTTGCACATAAACACATCAATAATAAAAAATGACATATGGTAGGGATGGTAGTTCATTCCCTGTAATCCTAGCACTTAGGCTAAGGCGGGAGGATTGCCTTGAGTTTTAGGCCAGTCAGGTCTGCATAGTGAGTTCCAGAGCAGCATGGACTACGAAATGAGAATCTTGTCACAAGCTCCTATAACACTGAAAAGGAAGGGAGGAAGGGAGGGAGAGAAGAAGGAAGGAAGGAAGGAAGGAAGAAGGAAGGAAGGAAGGAAGGAAGGAAGGAAGGCAGATAAAGAGTTGAGATTAAAAAAAAAAAATTAAGAGTCGGCCAATGATGGCGCACGCCTTTAATTACAGCACTTGGGAAGCAGAGGCAGAGGGATCTCTGTGAGTTCGAGGCCAGCCTGGGCTACAGAGTGAGTTCTAGGACAGGCTCCAAAGCTATACAGAGAAACCCTGTCTTGAAAAAAAAAAATTTAAGCTAGGTACTCTGCCTTCGGGCAGCTTAGATATTAAGCATGAGGCACTGGATTCTCCACATGAGAAAACGGGTACAGGGCCAGGGGTGGGCCAGTGACAAGAGACACGGCTGTCTGGTATATTAGGGAAAGGCCTTTGTAAGAGATGGAGCTGCCTAGAGGCAAGTAATAGAAGATTTGTTTTGTTTTTTGCTGGTGCTGAAAAGAAGTGTCTGGTCAGCCCAGGGAATGGCTCACTGGTGCAGCCCTGCTAGACAGACAGTTTTACTTGTTTGTAGGATGTCGCTTGGTGCTTGATGAAGTCTATGAAGTGTCTCAGAAACAGATATAATATAGTCTTTGGGTAGTATCTCAAAGCACAGCTCTCTGCCCTCTAAAATTGAGTGAGAATGTTGTGGGGGGGGGAATGAATCTCTAATAGACACTATTATATTTAAAGATAATTGCCTTTAAAAAGAAAATGCAGGAGGTGGTGATATTTTAAGAATAAAAACAGTCTCTTCAACATGAAAGGAAGAGGCTTCTTTTACTAAACTAGTTTTAGCTGGGTGAAATATGAACCAGGCAGTGTGAATTTCATTTTGTTGATCCTAACAGGATTATTTCATAGTGTGAACTAGAAATAAAAATAAACCAAGTAGTATCTTACATTCCCAACAAACCAAATTGGATCAGTGCCGATTTTGTCTCCATACCACATAGGGTGGGTAAGACTCCTGCAGGACATGGAGACTTGTTAGTCTAAATACAGCATTCTGGATTCTGTAGACTCCTAGCTTCTCCCTGTGGACATACATAACAACAGCTTCCATATCTCATTTTCCCCTTTTTATTTTTTACAGAGCTTGAGGCAAATGCTGCCATAGTCTCTGGACAAAGGTAAGAAGAATGACCCTATCTTCAGACTTAGCATGTCCGTGGCATGAGCTTCTTTGAAAGTTATCAGCATCCTCTGTCTTTAAACGTTTCCTCACCTTGTCCTTCTCCTATACTCTAGCACCAGTTTGTTTCTACTGCTCACATAGAAAGCTTCTATGAGCCCTCACTCCTCCAGGGTAACACTTCACTTAATAAAACTTGATGATTAAGTATCTATTATGCTTGTTGAAAACTGATAACATATGCAACACTCAACGTAAGTGAAGAAATAAGTGTTCTGTGTATAAGCACCACCTTCTTTACTGATGGTCTTTGAATATATCTTCTAAGTATAGCTGTTTGATCCTCAAAGGTGAAAGAGAAAGCCAGGTAGGTAGAGTGTAACCCCAAACCCATGCTTTGTCTGTTAATTGTGCTACCCTAGATATCCTAGCAAAACAGATGAAGTACATCTGTGGCTTAACCTCATTAGCGCTAGAAAGGCTAAGAATCACTCCCTTTTTAAGTGAAGGAATACAGTAACATTTTAAAGAATGTCTCATATTTGTGTAGAAATTTAGCATGTAAAATATCATTTTCTCATTAAACCTTCATATCAGCTCTTCATATTACTAACATTATTTGAATATTACACCTTGCCATACTCTGGACTACAAGCATTCTAGATGTATTACCTCTCATGATTTTTCACAATATCCATTATGATAATAAATTATATCATATAGTTGAGAAATCTAAAGGTCAGAGAGCTTTAACTAAGTTGCTTAAGGTCACAGATACAGCAAATGGTGAAATTGAGATTCAAACCCATCTTTTGGCCCTTATATTTGACCTGTGTATTACAGTAGACAAGTTAGAGATGTATAGATAAAAGTCTAGACTCTAGAGGATAAAGAGTTAAATATTGTAGCTGATAAATACACAGTACCTCCCTGACCCATATAATCTGATGCCAAATTCATTGTTATTCCTATTCACCACTCTGCCCATCTGTTTTTATTTGAATTGAACTAATATTTTTTTTTTTTTTTTTTTTTTTTTGGTTTTTCGAGACAGGGTTTCTCTGTGTAGCTTTGCGCCTTTTCCTGGAACTCACTTGGTAGCCCAGGCTGGCCTCGAACTCACAGAGATCCGCCTGCCTCTGCCTCCCGAGTGCTGGGATTAAAGGTGTGCGCCACCACAGCCCGGCTGAACTAATATTTGAATTGAGTTTTCCAAATCTATGCCAACTGTCTATAAAAAGGGTCTTCTATGAAGTTCAGATATACCTCATAGGTATCTGTTTGCAGAGCTGCCTATACAGTGACCACACAAACACAAGGGTCGTGTTGCTGTGGCTGTTTTGTTTTGACAAGAGAAAGGGGTTCCACCATTAGGGATTGTCCTCAGAAAATTGGCCTATTTTCTGGGCTCAAACAGAAAATTATCTTAGAACCCCTAGAAGGAGATGTCAACCTCTTTACTTGTAATTCCACCCTAGCTCCAGTTTGGCCTCTCTGACTTTGCTTGGTTTTTGGTGTGATTTGGGATAGCTATTTTATATAAAGCCAAGGTAATGAATGAACAGTTATGGCTCAGTTCCCAACCATAGTGTTACAAGCAAAGAGTCATCTGGCAGGAGTGAACAGTAGAATAGTGATAGTTGATGGTCACACCATGATTTATACCTTTGAGGAGCTCATGGTCTCATGAAAGGCACAAGATATTAAAATAGAACATCCAGAGCTGGAGAGAATGCTCAGCAGCTAAGGGCACTGACTGCCCTTCCAGAGGACCTGGATTCAATTTCCAGCACATGGTGACTCACAACTGTCTGTAACTCCAGTTCTAGAAGATCCAACATCCTGTTCTGTCCTCCAAGTTCACTGCACGTACATGTGCATAGGCATACACACAGGCAAAATACCCATACACATAAATAAATAAATCTTTAAAAACCTCATATAATAGAACACTCAATGGATTCTTTGGAAGATCATATATATAGACTGTGAACTAAAGAGAAGAAAAGGCAAGTCCATGGGGAGAGAGAGGCATGGAAATCTTCCCAGGAGAAGCAGGCTTTAACTTGTTTTGTTGCATTACATTTCAGTTCTATGCCTTGCAATCAAATTTAATCAGATTTTTTAAATGATCTTAATAACCATTTTTGAACCATGGATATGGTAAAAAGTTTTTAAAAGAAATTTCCAGATACATATCAGAATTAAATCTGGGTATAGTTGCACATGCCTGTAATCCTAGCACTTGAGAGGTACAGGCCAGAGAATCAAGAGTTCAAGGTCCGTCGGGCAGCAAGGGCACACACCTTTAATCCCAGCACCTGGGAGACAGAGCCAGGTGGATCTCTCTGAGTTCGAGGCCAGCCTGATCTACAGAGCGAGATCCAGGGCAGGCACCAAAACTATACAGAGAAACCCTGTCTCAAAAAACCAAAAAAAAAGAAAAAAAATTCAAGGTCATCCCTAGCTATGTATTAAGTTTGAAGCTAGACTACACGAGACTTTGTCTTTAAGAAAGAAAAGAAAGGCCGGGCGGTGGTGTCACACGCCTTTAATCCCAGCACTCGGGAGGCAGAGCCAGGCGGATCTCTGTGAGTTCGAGGCCAGCCTGGACTACCAAGTGAGTTCCAGGAAAGGCGCAAAGCTACACAGAGAAACCCTGTCTAAAAAAAAAAAAAAAAAAAAAAAAAAAATCTCAGCTATGCATTACATGTTGTACCTTATGTAGAATTTTAAGAGTTTTCTATTTAGAAAACACAACCAGATAAAGAGGATGACACCAAGTTTTTCCACCTCAACATTACTGACTTCTGGATCAGATAATTATTATAAGAGGCTGCCTTTGTATCATAGAATGTTTACCCAAAGATGCCAGTGGGACGCTTCCCAACTACAACAATCAAAAAAATGTGTCCAAAGCTGGGAATATATCTTACTGTTCACAAAGACTCCTTATTGAGAGTCTTTGGATTGCACAATTTATACTCTATCAGAAGTATATGAAAATGTTTTGTCCCTGTGTCTTTAATAACAGTATTACCAGTTTTTAATATTTGCCTGCTAAATGCCAGGGTTGGAGTTGGGGTGTTCAGCATATCTGCAGTGGATGATGACTGTATTCCCCTTACTTAGATAATGTACTATTCCATTATCTAATACCAATATATGCTCAAATTTGCCTAGTAACCCCCCCAAATAATAATTTCTTTTTGAAACAGGGTCTCTCTATATAGCTCTGGCTGTACCAGAACTCACTATGTAGACCAAGCTGGCCTCTAACTAATGGAGATCAACCTGCCTCTGCCCCTCAAATGTTGGAATTAAGGGTGTGCACCACCATATCTCTAGATTTTAGATACTGTTTTGGGGTAGTAGAAATTTTCAAACATCTATTAAAAACATTTTATAGCTGAAGTTTCACAAATAATGTTTAAAGGGATGTATTATTTATTGCCTTAGGAAAATAAGTGAGGGTTTTTAGAGGAGCTGTTTCAGTTCTTTATGTCTCTCACTTGCTTTTCCATAATCCTACCAGCACTGTGCTTTCTTTTCTTTTCTTTTTTTGGTTTTTCGAGACAGGGTTTCTCTGTGTCTCTCTGGCTGTCCTGGAACTCTCTCTGTAGACCAAGTTGGCCTTGAACTCACAGAGATTTACTTGCCTCTGCCTCCTGAGTGCTGGGATTAAAGGCGTGTGCCACCGCCACTTGGCCTATTTTATTTTTCTAATGTAACAAACTAGACTCACTTTTAAGTTCTCAACAGCATTGTCCCATTCTATCTGTAATGACAGATTTGTTTTGTTTTTGTTGTTTTCAGTGCTGGGGATCAAACCCAGAACTTGTACATGCTAGATAGACTAAGCTGTGTATCCCTGGCCCTGACTAGCTGCTAATTACCTTCAACTTTATGAATGAAACTGTACTTAAGGTGTGTCCCTTTTATGTGTCTTGATGCCCTTAACCTTCTTGGAAACTTGGTACTTCCCTCTGTCAGCAGTGAGCCAAAAGAGATAGTTGAGAAGTCCAAAACCCCGAGCCGAAGAAACTCTCGAACTGAGGAGCCAACTGTGGCTTCTGAGAGCGTGGAAAATGGACATCGAAAACGATCCTCTCGGCCTGCTTCAGCCTCCAGCTCTACAAAAGGTTAGCAGTGGGGCTTATGCTTTGAGGGCGGGGCGGGGCAGGGGGGAGTAAAAGCTAGGGTCCTCATGACAGCAGCAGGGACTTGAGCCTCTACCCTCCTCCTCTTAGGTCAGTCTACTTTCTCGGGCTTCGCCTTCTCTTCCTTGTCAGTCCATTAGTACCGTGGTTCCTGTCTGTGTACACAAGAGCAGTGACCGTTCTGGAAGAACGAGGAACTGGGGCTCGTCTCATTTTAAACTCATGTTTGCACCTAAGTGTGCCAGCACACACCTGTAATTGTGGCACTCGTGAGGTGGAGGTGAGAGTTTAAGGGTCCTTAGCTACATAGGGAGTTTGAGGTAGTCACATGAGGTCCTGTGTCAAAAACATGCACACACACACGAGAAGGCTCATGATCACTCACTTGAGTTAAATCCTGAGTATGACCCGGCTTCTTTTTTGGAAGTCAAGTCCCTTTTTCTACATACTGTCTACTCCTTTACCTCCTTTGTAACAGGGTCTTCTTATGTAGCCATGTTGTCCTTAACTCTCAAACCTGTGCCTCAGCCTCCTGAGTGCTGGGATTAGAGCATTCACTATTACACGTGACTTCTCCATACTTTTTAAACCTCTATCCCAACGTTCTCTGCTCTATCTTGGTAGGGGCTCTCACATCTTCTTAGAAAAAATAGAACTCTCTATTTACACTACCAAGATACTAATCTAAGCAGACTACTAAGACAGAGCAGTGACTCCTCTTCCACTTGAAGCCAAGTACCTCCATCTGTGCCCCATAATAACTCCTTTTATGACCTCAGCTTTACATCACCAGTTTTCTCTGTGAAAACTGTCTCTAATTTGGGAAGGGGAGATTGTTTTGCGACAGAATCTCACTCTGTAGCCCAGGTTGTCCCTGAATTTGTTTGACAGTCCTTCTTCCTTAGCCTCCCAAGTCCTGAGATTATAGGCATGGGCCATCCATCTAAGCTACTGTTCTTTTCTTTTTTTCTTCTCCTGTGTTGGGGACTGAACCCATGGCCTAATGGATGCAAGGCAAGGATTCTACCAACTGAGCTAAATCCCCCAACCCTACTGTTTATTTTTTTTTAATTAATTGTTCTTGACTTCTGTGATCCAGAACTTCTTAGTCATGTTCTGCTACCTCTCTGGAAACTCCTTAGTTTTCATAGATGCTGGCCTTACAGTTCAGTCTTGAAAGGTAGGCCTAATGGCACATGTCTGTAATCCCAGCCCTTAGGAGGCAGAGGAAAGATGACCAGTAGTTTAATTTCATCCTCAGCTACAGAGCAAGCTTGAGGCCAGCCTGGGCTACAGGACATTCTTTCTCAAAAAACAAACAAAACCCCTCCCATTAGAAGGGCAGATTCTGGTGCACTGACATCAGACACTGATAGGAGGACTCAGCTGTCGCTGGCAAGGAGTCCCTAGAAGTAAGCCACGGGCCTACCAGTTATACATAGATAAGACAGAGGCCTTAAATGTAACACCACTTGGCGTGGAGGCATGTATAATGTCGGGTACCTGAATCGTAGAAATATCTTACTGCAGAATCAATACATCTTAAAAGTTTTGAATGGGGAGCTGGAGAAATGGCTCAGTGGTTAAGACCACTGACTGTTCTTCCAGAGGACCCAGGTTTGATTCCCAGCACCCACATGGCAGCTCTGTAACTCCAGTCCCAGGAGATCTAATACCCTCTTCTGGCTTACATGGATACTGCATGAATGTGGTACACAGACATACATGCAATCAAAACATCCATACACATACAATTGTTAACAAAAGTCTGGGAGTGTGGATCAGTGATAGAGCACTTGCTTCTAGATTCTCATTATGTTGGGTGCTAGAAATAGTAACATTTGGAGGGAGTACAAATTGAACCACGAAAGATAAAAATGACCTGATCTTTTCAGACATATTTAATGTCTGAAATGGAAAATGACTGTTCTCTATAGTCCAGAATAGTTGTTCCCCAACCCCTCCAGAGGATGTGGTAGAGACTTCAAAATCTGATGAAAGAAAAAGGAAATTTTATTTTATATTTGGGTTTTGTTTGTTTGTTGTTTGAGACAGGACCTCACTATGTATCTCTAGCTGGCCTGAAACTTGCTATATATAGACCAAGGTAACCACAAACTCACAGAGATCCACCTGCCTCCCTCTGCCTCCCAAGTGCTAGGATTAAAAGCATGTGTCACAATACTGGAAAGAAAAAGAAAATTTTAGCCAGGCATTTTGGTACATACTTGTAATCCCAACACTTAGGAGGCTGAGGCAGAAAGATCATACATTCAAGGCCTGACTGGGTCATAGGACAAGTTCTAGGTCAACCTGGACTACATAGGGAGACTCCATTTCCAAAAACAAACATTTTATATCTTATGATAATATAAAGATACACCATTCATCATCCACCAGTCTTCAAAGATTTTTTTCACTTTCTAACCTAAGTCATTTGTTTACTTAAATAGTTAATGCATTAAAGATAACCTCAAAGAACACCAAATGTGTTAATATCTTATTAAGGAGTAAACATGAAGCCACTTCCTCTTGGATTAATTTGACCAAGAGTGAGCCCAAATTTGAATTCTCTACTTTGTCTCCCTGTGTCTTTTGTCTGTCTGTATCTCTGGCATATCCGTAATCAGTCTGCTGTGTGAGTCTGAATCTGTGCCCCAGTAGTTGTCCTTGTCCCTAACAAAGGACTTTGCTCTGTATCTATTGAAAAGCACAGGAAACATGGCATGGGAAAGGAACGAGGTTCTTTACACAAGTCTTTCATGGGTTTTTACCAGGGAAGAAGTCATCTAACTTCCTGACTGCACCTAACTACATAGCACTCCACACAGCAGACAGACATTGTCAACCTATAGCCACATGTTTGCAACATTTATGGTGGGTATTTATTTTAAGGTTGTTTTCAGCAAATGATTACCACACCATGAACATACACACATATTCTGGACCAAGGGCACAGAAGAGTACATAATTTAAGATTAAAGCTATGCAATTATCTTAGATTGTAAAAGCTGATTTCGTGGGAAATCCAAGGCATAGTAAGGTGAGTTACATTGTTTTCTTTTCTTTCTTTCTTTCTTTTTTTTTTTTAATTTTTTTTTTTTATTTTGGTTTTCCAAGACAGGGTTTCTCTGTGTAGCCCTAGCTGTCTTGAAACTTGCTCTGTAGACCAGGCTGGCCTTAAACTCAGAGATCCACCTGCCTCTGCCTCCTTAGTGCTGGATTAAAGGCGTGCGCCACCACTGACTAACTGGTTACATTGTTTTCTTAAAGGCAAGTTAAATATGCTGAGTACACAGTAAGGTAGTAAGTAGAGCACGCCTTTAATCCCAGCACTCGGGAGGCAGAGGCAGGCGGATCTCTGTGAGTTCAAGGCCAGCCTGGGCTACCAAACTAGTTCCAGGACAGCTAGGGCTACACAGAGAAACCCTGTCTCAAAAAACCTAAATAAATAAATAGTCTTAAATGGCTTCAAGTGATATTACTAACGTTGCTGTAAGGTCCGCCAAAAGTTTCAGTCTTGTGAGGGGGAGCTAAAAGATATTTTTATAAAAATATATCACCACCTTTACTGAGAGCCTCATACATTAGTTTGTACTCAAAGGCAGTTTTCTAATTTGTTGACTTGGCAATAAAAAGAGGTGGAGCCTGACATTGCTCACTCTCCTCTACCACCTCATTTTCCAGCCACGTCTGTCCGAGTCTCAGATACATCGTTTGTTTTTTTTGTTTTTTTTTTTTTTTGAGGTAGGGTCTTTTTTTGTAGTCCTGGCTGTTCTGGAACTTACTACATAGACCATACAGCCCTCAAACTCAGAGAAATCCTCCTGCCTTTGCCTAAGTGCTAGGATTAAAGATGTGCACCACCTCACCCAGCCACCATTTGATTCTTTGTACATGAGGGGAGATGTTTCTAAAGTTGACCTAATTGATAGATTTTTTTTTATTTTTTTCATTTTCATATATGTATATATATATTCTTTGAGGTATGTACACGTGTGTGTGCATACATATGGAAGCCAAATGTCAATATTGGTATCAGCCACTCTCCACCTTATTTTTTTTGAATAGTTTATTTTTATTTCATGAACATTTGTGTTTTACCTGCACATATGTCTGTGTGAAGGTGTTGGATCCCCTGAAACTGGAGTTATAGGCAGTTATGAGCTGCCATGTGGTTGCTGGGAATTGAACCTGGGTCCTCTGGAAGAGCAGCTTGTGTTCTTAACTGCTGAGCCATCTCTCCAGCCCCTCCATCTTATTTTCTTGAGACAGTGTTCTCTCAATGAACTTGGACCTTGCTAATTGTTCCTGACTAGCTGGCCAGCAAGCTCCAGGGATTACACGCACGCACTGCTGCCCTGGCTTTTCACATGGGTGCTGGGGTCTAACTCAGCGTCTCACGCTTGCCAGCCAGCTCCTCACCATGGAGACACCTTCCCAGCCCAAGTCCTTTTCTAAGGATGAGCAGTGTCAAGGCTCTGTATATTTTCACTCCAAACAACAAGCTTGCTGTGGTGAAAATGAAACGAGGTTTGGACATGAAGAGTTGATATAGGGACAGGAGAGTGGCCCTGCCTGTAATCCCAGCACTTGAGGGGCTGAGGGAAGAGGATGGACCACAAATTTGAGGCTAGCCTGCACTAGTAGTAAGTTCCATGCAGCCTGGACTGCAGAGTGACCTTGTATAAATTAATAAATAGTTGATTATGAGGAGTTGTGTGTGCTGTGTGAAACTCAGTTCTTTTATATAAATTAAAATAAAGAACACCATTATTAAAGTCCTTCTTAGTTTGTAAATATTTGGGGATACTCTCCCACAAGGCACGAGCAATATGACCACCTAATAAGAAAACATACTGGAGTTGTCACTAACAGAAGCCTGGAATTACTTCATTGGTTCCTCTTAGAAAATCATACAGGCCTCTGTGACAATGACCAGAGGTCACAGCAGTAAAATTTTTGCTTTTCTCATCTGTTTCTGGTGACCTGGGTTCTCAAAATATTTAAAAGGAAAGAAACACAGTTTTGCTTAGAACACTGAACCTGGTAATGTAGCGTCAGAAAATTCATTCCATCCAGAAATAGTTGAATCTGAATCATCTTTTGAACTAATGTATGAGAAACAATTGTTTACTTCGATAAAGATATTCAAAACATTGTTTGGGTTTGGAGTTTGCTTTTGTTATCTATAACATCTCATATAGCCCCAAGGCTGTCCTCAAGACCCTGTATATACCAAAGATGACCCCTTGCCTGTACCTTACAAGTACTGAGGGGCAGGTGTAATTACAAGGCCTGTGCCACAATACCGAGATAAAATACTATTTTGTATTGAAGCTAAAATATCATGTAGCAGCATGAAAAATGAGTCAATACAATGAATTAGATTTTATCTTTTTTTGTCTGTGTTTTGTTTTGTTTTGTTTTTTGTTTTTCAAGACAGGGTTTCTCCGTGTAGTTTTGGTGCCTGGATCTGTAGACCAGGCTGGCCTCCAACTCACAGAGATCCTCCTGGCTCTGCCTCCTGAGTGCTGGGATTTAAAGGCGTGCGCCACCACCGCCCATCTGAATTAGATTTTAAAGAAACATGTACATTTGCAGAGCTTCAGTACTACTGTACTCTGCCATAGAAGACTGGAAAAATTGTGAATAAAGATGATTAAAATCTGAGGTAAGAGTCGCTTGACTTAGGACACTGATATATGTAAGGGAAGTTAGAGAATTAAAATCTGAGGTAAGAGTCGCTTGACTTAGGACGTTGATATATGTAAGGGAGGTTAGAGAATTAGAATCTGAGGTAAGAGTCGCTTGACTTAGGACGTTGATATATGTAAGGGAGGTTAGAGAATTAGAATCTGAGGTAAGAGTCGCTTGACTTAGGACGTTGATATATGTAAGGGAGGTTAGAGAATTAGAGCAGCCTTTCCCTTTGTGTCACGGTCACTGTGATAAGTCACTCATTGCCACCTCTGCAGCCTTCGGGTTCAGGGACGGTGTTAGCTGTTCTGAAATGCTTCCATGTGTGTATGTGCCAATGGCTTGTTTGGGGGGAGGGGGGTGTGGTACTTGAGATTGAGTTCTGCTGATAGAGCTGTGTAACCCCAGCCCTCCAAAGCATCGATATACGTGGGCCACAATAGCCCTTGACTGAGATCCATGTCGTGTAGTCTAGAGACTTTAGCTGTAGCATAACAAGACAAGTTCTTTACTGCAGAATAATGGCTTGGCTACAAGAGAGCCAAAGACTGGTTTCTGGTGCAATTCACTCACTCGCTGACTACTCACCAAAAGCACTGTTAGTGTGTCTATAACTTCACTGAGTGATGGGAATTGGTGAGGGAGATTGTGAAGTTCATTGTACAGCTTGTAAGGGATCAGGTAGTTGGAGGCAGGGTAGAGATAAAGCAGGTGAAAGTGCTTGCTACACAACCCTTGAACCAGCGGGAGTGAAGAACTGACTCCCAAGTTGCCCTCTGACCTCCACATGCCAAGGCATACACACACAAACATATAATAAAGGCTTTCCCTACCATAGCACTGCCAATCTTTCTAGCCAGGTGCATCTTCTCTTCCTTTTATCGTGTGTGTGTACACACACGTGTATGTGTGCGAATGTGCGTGCCAGTTGGTTCTCTTGCCTCCATGTGGAGTCCAGGGATTGAACTCGGGTTGTCAGATTTGGTAGCCGGTGCTTTTACCCACTGAGCCACTTGCTAGTCTTCATCCCGTGTCCCCAATTGGCAGGTCCTGATAGACAAGGACACACTCTTTTACCACGTAAGTCAGCAGACAGAGCCTGTGACTGCTTTCAAACCATGTGTCCCTTAAAGGGATTTAGAGCCTCATGGGGCTCCACTATGCCAATTCTAGACAGTGTGGACGCCTAAAGGGCGCTGCTACCTTCGTTGACCATGTCCTTACTTTTCCCCAACAGATATAACTGGTGCAGTGCAATCCAAGCGAAGAAAATCCAAGTAAGCAAGCTGGAAGATGACTTGATACTTGTAAATGTGTGTGAATTTTACAAAGAGCAATTTTCAGCTGTGACTTTTTAAATCTATTTCTGTACAGTTAGTCATTTTAATAACTCAGTCCTTTTCCTAGTCCCTGAAACCTGTCTCATAAAGTGTAACGGGGAGCAGCCCTTTTGGTGTTGCAAAATGAAGTTCAAGGCTTCTAAAATGTTGCCATGTATTGAAAGGAGCTAATGCCATTATAAATGTTATTAGTTTCACATTTCTTAAGCAGCCTAGAGTACAGGGTGAGCATTTGTAGATCTTCTAATGATGTATTGTGCTGTGGAAGTACTGTGTGTGAATAGCAGTAGTGGGGCAAAAAGCAATCTTGTCATTTGGAAATGTAAATAATTTTATTATATAGTGTTTTGGATGTATTTGTTGTAGAAACGGACCAGTGAATAAAGAGAATCTAAGGGTTTGTACAATGTGAAATATTGAACGTGTTAAATAAATGTCTTTGTCATAGAACTTAAAAGTATGTTATTGGGAAGGGTAAGCAAGATTTTCTTTTTGGTTACAGATAAGTAGACACAACCTTTTTTGTAACTCAGACACTTCCCACCTGAAATACCCACCCAGCAAGATGAGGAAAATGTATCCACTTGCTCCCCCAACTCATTTTTGGCTTTGAACAAACCAGAACTGTTTTAACAACATACTGGAGATTTCATATATATGTGTGTGTATATACATATATATGAGAATGTGTGTATGTATAGTGCATATATGCATATATATGTGTGTAGATGCATGTGTGTCTAATTTTATTTGTTTGCAAATAATCACCAAGTATGGTGCCACACACTTGTAATCATAGTGCTTGGGAAGTAGAGGCATTAGAATCACAAGTTAGCCAAGCAGTGGTGGCGCACGCCTTTAATCCCAGCACTCTGGAGGCAGAGGCAGGCGGATCTCTGTGAGTTTGAGGACAGCCTGGGCTATGAAGTGAGTTCCAGGACAGCCTGTGAGTGAGTTTCCAGAACCCTGTCTGGAAAAAACAAAAAGAATCATGAGTTCAAGGTCATCTTCAGCTACATAGAGTTTGAGACCAGGATGGGCTACATAAGACCTTGTCTCAGAAAGTAGAATCAACCTTTCATCAAAGGCACCCGGGACTTTTAGAGGCAAGAGGCTGTCCGCAGCATAGATAGCACTTCCCCCACCTCATGCCTGTGCTGCTCTATTCAGATGTGCTCAGACTGGCCAGCCAGATTGTCTTAGCGTAGCTGTGCAGTTAAATGGGCAGCTCCTCCTCGTGGCTCTAATCCAGTGCCTGGGACTAAAGAATGACCCAGTGTCTCCAACTGGGCTTCCATTCTCATTCCTGTATTTCAGATATCTTCATATATGTGTCTTACAAGGATCTTGTAAAAATAGCTTATGAGTCAGACCCTATATTGTCTCTTTCCAGAGAACTTACTTACCCTCTTCCTCTCTTGTATGACAAATCAGAGCCAAAGCCAGTCTACTAATAATACCCTCTGCTTTGACTATACTTGAGATTATAGTGTTTCCTATACTTTAGCTCAACTCAGGCAGAAAGCATAATGTGCTTTAAATAGATTTTTATTTGTTTATATTATTTTTTCTCCCATACAGGAATAGCATTACAATCTAACATTCAGAATCCTGTTACACACATACACAGGCATGCCACATGACCAGGTCGAGGTGGTTGTGTCCTTGAGTCTGTCGACACATCACAACATGGTCAGTCAAAGATTTTTCATTTCAGCCAGTCTCAACACAAACACCCAACAAAGATGCACTCAACTTGTTGGTTCCATTTGGAACTAGGTGGTAGGATAAGAAGTTATTAGAGCAGGCTGTGGTTTGTCTGCATTCAGTCCCCTCACACAAAGCTACATGGATCTTGAAAGCCGCCCAGGAGCTCTGGTAGGGTCCTTGTTGCACCTAAGACATTATAGGTCACAGCAAGTTGATCAGAGGGTTCCAGGCTGGGGAGCAGGCATACTCCAAAACAGCACCAAACTGCACTCACACACACAGTGCCCTACTGGGGCTAGACTGGCAAAGGTTAGAAAGTGACACCAGCTCAAGAGAACCACTCAGACTTATTGGAGAAAGCTGGAAATTGCCCTTTGATGTAACTGAGACTCACTCTAGAAACAGGTCCCTCTGACATCCTTAGTTTTGGCAAAGTGCTGGTAGTATTGACATTAATACAAACTGGTACAAATTTCTCCAGGGTCTCTGAAATCATCACTCAAGACAGACTCTCTAACCTCCTCCCGTCTAGGGTTGCATAGGACTTTGTGAATTCTGGTTCCCTTGTGTATTCAAGTTCTGTGGTTTAAGAAAAAAATCCTGAAGCATGCTCAAGGTGAAAGGCACATACACAGTCAATACAGTATGACAGGGGCTGATGCTTCAGGAGTCAGACTAGCAGGAGACTGAGAAATCTATACACAATTAAAATATTGCCACACTCAAATGCTACAGAATCTATAGGAAAGTACAAAAGAAAAATAAGCCTTGCAACCAGTCAGATGAGAGATTGGAGGGTTCTAGAACTACAGGAGCTTCTAGAAATACAGGTCAGGAGTGAGGCCTTTTGAAATTTGAGCCAAATGCCCTATCAAACTTCCCACGGCAGCAGGATCATGGGCACTTGCCTAGGACTGAGCCTAGGCCCCCATCTGGATCATGGGCACTTGCCCAGGACTGAGCCTAGGTCACCATCTGGCAGTGAGGATTAGATAAGAAGGGCTGGAGGGAGTTTCAGCTCTTGGAAGTGCTGAAGATCCTAAGCTGGCTGGGAAGTGACCTTAGGATAGCAGGAAGAGTAAGTTACTAAGTTGTAACTGAAGAACTTGGGACAGGAACAAGGTTATCAACTACTAGGGCCCTAATAAGCTGGTGTGAGGTTTTGATCTGCGTATAGTTTGCGTTTGGCTTATCCTTGAGCTAGGAGACCTTAGCCGGGCTTCCTCTGTCCCCATTGTGGGGACATCTCTCCCATCCCCACATGAAGCCTGGTGAGAAAGGATCAGAGAGGGCAGCTACTTTTACCCTCATAGGAATGCCGTTTTCTCCAACCCCGACTTGGCTCTGAGGCCTGGAAACCTGGAGTTGGAGTCAAAGGGAAGACCTGTGTTAATATGTAACAGGAAATCTAAAAGTTTTGAGGAAGGAAGAGCACACACTTAAAAAAGGACAGCTAGAAAGAATTGGAAACAACTTGGGGCATCCCAAGAGGCTGTTGCTGGTGTCTGAGCCCCACCACAAGAAGGGAGAAGCGGGCTACCCCATCCCTGTGCTCTACCCAAGAATTCCTTACTCCAGATATTTAACTAGAAAGGGAAGAGAGACCACAGAGCACTTGGAAAGGAAGAGCCCTGTGGGAGAACATTAAGAAGCCCCTTGAAGGCCCTGAACTTCTGTAAGAAAAATTTTGGGAATTGGAACAGTGAGGCTCCTGGCCTCCTACTCAGGAGTGTTTATTAGCCAGCCATATTGAGCAAAGTATGAACTATAAGGCCAGAGGCAAGATGAAGGCAGAGTTATCAGCCTAGGGATGGCTTTACCCCAAACTTGTCCTCCTTAGCATCATCCCTCTGCACTCTTGCCTTGGGGTATGTACCCTTTTTTCCCTGCCTGGAAGCCCTCTAGCCGGCGTCTCTCCTAAGCTAATTCTAGCACCTTGGGCATATGAACAAAGATGGCCAGAATGTCGGGGGCCTTACCCAGCTTCTACTCCTGGGGCGGCATGTCAAGGTAAGGTGACAAGGTACAAGCCCTTCGGACTCTAGACTCACCGGGAGGTGGGGGGTTTTACTCCTGAAGGGGGACAGATTTCAGGAAAAATCCTGGAAGGCAGGATTATAGGAAAAGGAAATGGGGCAGGCTCCAGGCTCAAGCCTAAGACCAGGGCTTAACTCCTCTGACCAAGCACAATGCCAGCTCTCATGATGCCCTGCTCCCAACTGTCTCTCAACCCATCTGTCCCTGTCTGCATCCCGATAGGCTGCCTGTTTCCTTCCATTCCCTTCACCCTATCTAACTTACAACTCACTGTCCTCCTCCACATACTTAAACTTTCCAGGCCTAAGCAGTCCAAGGAGCTCAACCCCCAGGGCGGGTGGGTGGGTGGGGATGACTGAAATCAAAACCCTGTGCCTGACACCTGACCACAGGGTTCTAAGAACAATGGCCCAGGCCTGGCAGGTTGTACCTGGTCAGGATTGGGAGGGAATTGCCAGGAACGAAAAAGGGAAGTCTTGGAAAGTAGGAGCTGAAAGGGGAAAACCATGGTGCCAGGTCATGGTGGGAGAGGCTCTTAGAAATCGGGGGCCTAGGAGGACAAAGTGAAGGAGTGAGAGACAAGAACAGGGGTCTGAAAAGGGAGAGCAGGAGTGGGGAGTGGATGGTGAGAAATCAGAAACAGGTGGGGAGGGTGGCCCGCGGTGAAAGAGGTTATCAGGTGAGTTAGAAGAAACTGAGAACTCAGGGGAGTAGAGGGCCATCATCCCACCTCAAACACTTAGGAAGGAGGGAGGTTGTGGTATCCAAATGGAGGCAGGCGGACCCTGGACACCCCTCGAGCAGCACACTGGCTGCTGCAGAGGAGGCAGATGGGGCCGGGAGTCTGCGCGGGATTGGAGGTGTCGCAAGGGCGCTCAGTAGTTGAACTGGCGCTGGCACGGCTGGTAAATGAAGCTGCCCTGGTGCTTGGGCCGCCGCGAACGACTCTCCCGAGCGCGATTCTGCCGCTGTAGCACTTTAGCACTCAAGGCGTGGCGCTCTACCCGCTGCCGGGCCCTCTGCAGCCTCCGTACCTGGCCGGCCTTCTCCAGCAACACAGCTCGAGCAGGCATCGCAGCAGCTGCGTGGTGCAGGGCCCTGGGCTCCCGGCGAGCAGGCGCCAACTCTCTGCAGGGACAGAGTACAAACGTCAGGGGGGACAGGGGGCTGGCATCTCCCACCCTGTCTCTTCGGGGCAGAGTGTATGATGCTCTCTGATGGGTACCAACTCTTCCCTCAATCCCAGTTAGAGATGTTTCTTAGACTCCAGCCCCTGAGGCAGCTAAACTAGACAGGATAGGGCCGGGGCTCCAACCGCCACTCAATACAAGCCCCATTCTGGCCTAGCAGTTCAAGCTAGTCCCAATCTTCTGAGCCAAGACTCACTCTCCCAAGCCCCACCTTAGCCACAAGACCACGCCTCTCTTCCATCAGTGATCACTGTGCCTATCCACCTGGTCCGCCTTTGTCTCAGGGACACTCACTGCCCTGCAGGCTCCTAAGCCCTAGCCCCCAGTCTCTACCCTCAATCCACTCACCCATCGCTGAGGTCCTGATCAGGCAAGGCAGCGTCAGGGTGAGGGGAAGGTGGCCCAGACTCTAGCACTATGGTACTGCCGGTGACATAAACGGACATGCTGGGATGCTCGATGAGGAGGTCCTCCAGGGGGTTGCTCTGGAGGCGGGCCGGCCCAAGACCGGGCCCCTCTGCAGTAAAACAGGCGGGAGGGGTAACAAACCAGCTCTCGTCCATCAAGGAGGGCGCGGGTGGAGGGCGGCCTGCAGGAGCCGGAGAGGCCCCAGGGTTTGGGGGAGCTGTGTAGCTATCTATAGGGTTTGGGAGTGGGGAGCCATGCGCAGGGAAGGGAGCAGCGGGGGTGGGGTGGGGCGCACACACACACACATACCGGACACAGGGGATGGGGAGAGAAAGGGCATCGTTAGTCAGACCTGTAGCCCTGTCCATCGTGCCCAGAGAGCACCTGAGGGCCAGGGTCCTTACCCTGCCGACCTAGGGGGTCCCAGGTGTACGCCCCAACAAATGAGGAGACAGGGCTTTCAGGAGAAGGGTCTATGTCACCTCACCTCAGGGCTCACTACCTCAACTTCACTTTGCCCAGGAGGCCCAGGGGACTCCAATTCCCACATATCCCCTTCCCCTTCCACACTGCAAGGCCTCCTGTCCTTATGGTGCCTTCATAGGCTCGGGAATCAGAGTGCTTGCCCCCGAATCAGGCCTCACCCTGCAGGTCAATGATGAGCCAGCCGTCCACTTCATCCTCCTCTGAGACGAAGGCCTCGGGACAGTTGGAGTCTTCAGGAGGCGAAGGAGTGCTGAAGAAAAGGCTGGTGAAGCGCTGGAACATGGTCAGCGGGTGAAGCAACCTCAAGGGGGCGCCCTATGGCAGTGCAAAAGCCTGGGAAGCATAGAAAGACATTAGAACCACAGGCTGAAGCCTACCCTTGGGTGCCTGGGGAACAGAGGGCTCCAGCCCCCCAGCACCCAGAGCAGTGATAATGAAGAAACATGCCTCTTGTGTGTGCCTCTCTGCACTCAGTAGGCTTTCCAGTGTGAATTTAGGAAACTGTTGTGTCTTTGTTTTCTTATCTGTCAAACAACAGCAGTAACACCCTAATAAAAAATTAAATGAGCTAAACACTTATAACGTGTTCAGAACAGGGCCTGGGCACACAGTAAGCATCCAATAAGTCAATAAACTTGCCATTACTACAGGTTACTTTGGGGATATGGAAGAAGTGATATCTGTGACCAAGCTTTGCCAGGGAAGGTCTCTAGAGGATGAAACAGCCAAGTTGGGCTTTGAAAAGTAAACAGGAAATTTCCATTGAGGGAAGAAACTGCCCTTACTATTGTCATCATAAAATTAACACTCATGTGCCAGGTACTATACTAAGCAACTTCATCTATTTTACCTTATGTAGTCCTCACAACAAAACATAGAACCAGAACAAGGTATGAAGGTGCAAGCCTGTAGTCTTAGTACTTGGGAGCTAGAGACAAGAGGATCAAAAAGTTCAAAGTCAGACATGATGCGCTGCATCTGCCATCCTAGCAAGGTGGAGGCAAGAGGATCAGGCATTCAAGTCCTGCTTTGGCTACAGAGTGAGTTTAAGGCCAATCTGAGCTACATTGGGTCCCTACCTAAAAAAAATAAACAGTCCTTGGCTATATGAGATCCTGTCAAAAGGAACAGAAAGGGAGGGGGAGAGAGAATAACTACTCTTTTTTTCTGGTAAAGAGAGAAAACAAGGCTTGGAGAGGTAAGTCCAAAGTCTCACAGCTAGTAAAAGACACAGGTAGTATTTGACTCCAAACAGCTAGTGGCATCCATAATCACTACAGTCCATTCCTGTCTTTTCTGGGTGTCTGCCTAGATTAGACATGTTAAACTTGGTAACTAGGGCTGTGTCTAGGTGTATTTTTATAGGAAAAAAAATGATCTTGGATTTCAGCAAGATTTTCTAAGCAGCAATCTTTGACCCCAGAGACCAAGAATAGTTATAAGGACCCTGTGTGGTTTGAAAAGTGCTAGGTAATAGGAACCTCATAGTTCTTGCTACAATCTCACCATGGGATTGGGCAACCCACAGATATGTATTCCAGATGAGGTGTAAGATCCTATGTCCACAGGTCCTTCCGACTCTAACCCCCTTCCCCCAGACTCTTGTCCAAGGACAGCCATCTCTGGCCAAACAAAGAATATTGGGTCGCCTGGCCCTTGTAAAACAACCTGTCAGTGGTAGATGGTGATGGAAAAAGGAAGCAGTCAGATCCAAGGAGCCCTTAAGGATAAATGCAAGGGTTGAACCGAGATCCAAGCCTTCAGACAGTGCTTCCCTGGACCAAGACAAGGAAGAAGTCTCCTGTTCTAGGAATGGAGACCTTGAAGTGATAACATTAATCTATCCAAAAAGCTACAGCTTAGTGGTGGTGGGGCAGTGCAGAACATATATAATCAGAAGAGAGACTGTCGAAGAATATAAGGATGCACAGGAGACAGGGAGATCAGACAGGTGCCTTGATACAGCCATCAGCCTTCTGCCTTTCCAGAGAGAGATGCGGAGATCTGGCATTGAGCTTTAACATGCATTTCCCAGAGTTCCCACTGCATCAGACCCTGCAATGAGCCTCAACTCTTGACATGTTGAGTGAGGTAAGAGAGGCTCAGAAGAGAAGCTCCCTGGCGGAGATCATACAGGAGTCAGTGACAGCCGGGAGAGATGGCAGCAACCAGCCAGCTGTGGCTGTCCACCTCTCTCCCCTTGACCACTAGGAGAGCCTCCCGGGTTTTCTTTCCTAGCCTGCTGGCTTCCTGGTTCTCAGATTCCTGGCTCCGCTCCAAGAAGAACCTTCCCTTAATACTACAGCAGCTGTGCCCAGAATAGCACTTGAGCCCTAAGCCACCCCTAGACCAGGCCATTCCTGAACAAACCCCAGTCTGGGAAGAGGCTCCAGATCCAGCCTCCATATCTACTCACTTGGAAAGTAAGAAACATTCTTTCTGCTGCATAAACTCTGCAATCACCAGTGCTAGGGAAGGTCTGGGTTCCTCTTAGCTGACAGCTTGGCTCTACAAGGTGATGAGAGGCTAATAGAGGGAACTCCCAACTCATTCTCAACATCTGCCCTGGAGACACCTGGAGGCAGGCAACTAGTGACTCACCTTTCTGTGGTCAAAACAGCTGGGAGACAGCAATTTATTGGGTTCTAAGGTAGAGAGAATGCAGAGGTGGTCAGGGCCTTGAAAGGGACCCAGTCTTCAGAGATCTCCTGGGAAAATGCCCAGAATCGAGAAGACTGAAACACCCTATCAAATTGATAAGGTGCTGAGCCCAAGACAGGTTCCCCAGTAAATGGATATATAGTTTTTTATTTGAACTGAGCTTGTACTATGCATTTGCCCACAGCTAAGGAACCTGTCCTGTCACTCATTGAGTGTGACTCTAATTAGCTGAGATCTCCAGTAAGCTATGTCTCTCTGGGTCTCAGTTTCACCTTCCATGAAGTGGGGTTTAAGACCCTCAATATTTGTAGGCTGAAAATGACATCAGCTAAGACTCTGCACACATGTCGGGGATTAGAAGGATGTTATTATGTTGGGGGGCGGAGCCTGAAGACAGAGGGCATCCGCTGCCATCTGGTGTTGTCTCAGGGACCTGGAGTCTGAAGCCTCCTTCATCCACCTACCTCCCTCTCAACTTAGATCGAGCATGCCCTCCGACCCTTCTTCCTCAGGTCGCAAGAAAAAAGCAGATGAGAAGCCCGACCCCTGTCCCTAGATTAACACGGGAAACCGCCGAGTCCCCTCGGGTCCCGCTTGCCTTTCTACGTCTCTGAACCCTCGGCCGGGCTCGACACTGCGCCCACCGGGTCAGCAGAGGACAAGCACCCAAGCAAGCCTGGAAGGCGGGGCTGGCCTTGGTGACGTCTCAATGTCATATGCAAATAAGCAACGTCATGGCCCACCGGCTTGGGGCAACCAATAGGGAGCCGAGAACGCAGCTCCAGCGGCCGCCGGCGGAGACAGACAAAGAACGGGAGAGGGGGGCGCAGGGCGTGTCCTGGGGCGCCCGGAGCCCCCAGCCCCGCGATCGGGACTCACCTGGGGCGGCTGCGGCAACCGGTGCGCTGAGGTAGTTGTGCGGCCGGGCGTCCCCGGGGCGCCGGTGCTCACAGCCGGCGCCGCATACCGGGGACTGGCCGGGAGACGGCGGGGCTCGCAATCGGACGCCCGGAGCTGCTGCGGCCGCTGCGCCGGGGCTCAGGGCACAAATCCGAACGCTCCAACAGCTGATTGTGACGTCACAAAGGGGCCCGCCCGCTCGCGTCAGCGGCCGTCGGAGCGGCGGCCAATCGCAGGCGTCGAATGTCCTTTCCCCGCCCCTCCGCGGTTCGCCGGCGGGTGGCTGCAGCCCGGGATCTGCGCTCCGAACCTCGGGCTGAGTAGAGGTGACGGCCCAAATTCCCTGCCCCCAGTCACCCACAGACCTCGCACTGAAGACGACACCCCCCCCCCCCCATTCTTCTGCAAGGATTCGATCTCGCTGTTCTTTCTGCACATAACCTTGCTCTTTCACTTGCCCCAGTGCTCCGCACATCCCTTCGCCTGCATCTTAGGTACAGGAGGACCCCCACCCCCACTGCGCTCCATCTGTAAGTCCCTTTTACCCCTCTCCTTGTCCTTTACCGCTCTCCCCCCACACTGCCTTTCTTGCCTGCTCACCCTCTGTCTCATCTCATCCCTACACGTTTTCTATTTTCCCAGCTCTCCTTTTTTCGCTGGGCTTGAGTGGACCTTTCCCTAGCCGCAGTTACAAAAGAGCACCTGCGAGTGTGGGGGAGTTGGTGGGGCTGACGGGAAATCTGGCCAGAGTAGGCCTTGGAAAGAAATTGCTCTAAGCTGAATAAACATTGACCTGGAGACAGCTCGGCCCTAGAACGCTTACACACCTTACTTAGTCCACGTTGCTACCGGAACAGGACAGAGAAGTGACAGGACAGGGATTGCTGGTCCTGATTTACATATGGAAAAAGAGAATACAGGCACACGCTTGTAATCCCTCATGTAGACATGAGGTTCAAGAGTTGAAAGGCAGCCTGAGCTACAGGAGACTCAGCAAACGGAGAGGAGGGACACCTACTATTGCTTCTGCCAGGTCGCCAGCTGACACCGGACCCTTGCCATATGCCAAGCACTCTGCTGCTTTTTAATCTTCACAATAACCCCAAAAGATAGGTGGTATCCTCCTTTTACTGTTGGGAATCTAACTTCCCAAAGCAATTAAGCCATAGTCCATGGCAAAGTCAGGAGTTTAACTCACAGGATCACTCTATCTGCACCAGAGGGTCTGAACTCGGGATTCTAAAGTCTCTCCAGTGAGATCTGGCTTCCAGTCCTATGTCTCAACTGTGTGGTTCCTAGTAAGTCCTTACCACTCTGGGCCTTAGTCTATCTGTCCTGCTCACTCACACACACACACACACACACACACACACACACACACACACACACACAATATGTGTGTGTATATATATATATATATAAACTTAGAGCTAGCAGAGTCAGAGTTTTCCAGATTCTTCATCCCCAGGATTCTGCCAAGTTGATGCTCCAACCCCCAGCTCTTGCAATGGCCTGTGAGATACTTAGACAAACTGCAAACACCCATCCCGGGGATTTCCAGGCTGGAGCTTCTGAATCTCTAAGTAGAACAGATCTGGTAGATGAGGCTCTGAAAGTTGCCCATTTGGCCAGCAGGAACTAGTCCAGAGCTCCATGCTCTGGTGACTTCAAGAACCCTGCCCCAGCCTGGCCAGAAGGCCCTAAGAGAGGACTGAGCCCTACCAGGCAGAGGACAGAGCCAGAAAATAATACCCAGAGGCTTGAGGGCAGGCGATTAGCACAGTGCTCCTTACACTAGGGTTTCTGACATGTTCTCATTTGTACAAACCTGAGCCTCTGCCTAGCACAGCCACTTCCCACTAATCCCATACCCTCCACTGACCTCCTTGCTGACAAACTAATCCCTAACATGTCCCTCCTGTTACACTGCTTGTTTGCTCTAAAACCTTATATTCTCACAAACCCACAATCCCAACAGCATTCATGACTCTTCATAACCCAAACCAGGTTCTCTCTAGCACCATCTTCTTCCTTCTCAATGTACCATGTGCTAGTAAAACTCCTTTGTCTTTTCAAACCTCTCTCACCTCCATGATTATGTTTAAGCATTCTTCTCTTCCTGGATTGCCTTCTTCGTGCCTTCTAACATTCTTTCCTGCCTTCAAAATTCTTCTACTGCTTCTCAGAGGAAGCCACTCTTGCCCTACTCATGTGTCAGTGACTACTTTGATGGACAGTCTCATTTGTTTGTTCAATAAATGGTAAGTAGCTGAGTGTGCAGCTTGTACCTGTAATTCTACCCACTCAGTGCCTAGGAACAGCCTGGGCATCGATGTGAGTTCAGTACACACATGTGCTGTGTGTGTGTGTGTGTGTGTGTGTGTGAGAGAGAGAGAGAGAGAGAGAGAGAGAGAGAGAGAGAGAGAGAGAGAGAGAGAGAGAGAAAGAAAGAGAGAGAGAAAGAAAGAAAGAGTAAGAGAAAGAAAGAAAGAGAGAGAGAAAGAGAGAGAGAGTTTTGAGACAGGTTCTCACCATGTAACTCTGGTTAGCCTGAAACTCACTATGTAGATCAGTCTGGCTGGCCTGGTCTCACAGATATCCACTTGCCTCTGCCCCCCAAGTTTTGAGATTAAAGACAGGTGTCATGTAACCATACTCAGAGAGACCCAATTAAAAATAAAAACATCTGGCTGGCTGGGCTGCAGAGATGGCTCTGTGGTTAAGAGCACTGGCTGTTCTTCCACAGGTCCTGAGTTCAATTCCCAGCACCCACACAGTGGCTCACAACTGTCTCTAATGGTATATAATACCTTCTTCTGGTGTGCAGACAGACATGCAGACAAAGCACCCACATACATTAAATATTTTTTTCAATCTGACTGGAGATCTGGGTCAGCAGTTGAGCTCACAGGTCAGCAGTTGACCCAGGTTTGACTCACACAGTAGCTCACAACTATCTTAACTCCAGTTCCAGGGAATCTGATGACCTTTCTGACCTCCGTGGGCACCAGGCATGCATATGGTCCACAACAGTGAATGCAAGCAAAATACCCATACACATAAAATAAAAAACTTAAAAAAAAAAGCTGGGTGGTGGTGGTGCACACCTTTAATCCCAGCACTCAGGGAGGCAGAAGCAGATGGATCTCGGTGAGTTCAAGGCCAGCCTGGTCTACAGAATGAGTTCCAGGACAGCCAGAACTACACAGAGAAACCCTGTCTCGAAAAACAAAACAAAACAAAAAAAGACTTTAAAAATATATACACCTCATTAAAATATTTTTAAAAGATCTGCAAGCACTCTTCACCACTGAACCATCTCTCCAGCCCCTATTAATTAACAAGCAAATTGGGCTGGAGATATGGCTCGGTGATTAAGAGCACTCTTCCAGAGGAACTGAGTTTGATTCCCAGCATGGCAGCTAGCAAGTGTCTGTTAACTCCAGTTCTGGAGGATTCAGCACCCTCTTCTAGCCTCCTCAGGTATTGTAAATGTGGTAAACACATGCATGTAGGTAAAACATCCATACACATAAAAGTAAATCTTAAAATATTTCAAAAATAACAATTGAGTATTGATGCCTATGTGTATGTGTGTCTTAACAAGTGAATGATTGACATCCCAAGGATAGAGTCTTGTCCACATATTTTCCCAATCAGGCTATATGTCAGATTTAATCAAAGGCTTAGTGATTGTAGCCCGAAGCCCACAGACACTGTCTGGCACAGCAGTCTCCCCGTGGACCCTCTATCTTAGTAGGAGCACCAAGTTCTGGTTCCCCAAGTCTAGAGAATAGGGCTCTTGGCATAGACTCTGGTACCCTAATTGACCTGGATTCTGTTCCCAGTATTGGCTGTACCCAATGTTCAAACTGCTAGGCCAAATTCCAGTCTACTTGGAACTCTCGATTGGGCCTGGCAACTATCAAAAGGGGGCTGGGGCTTAGTGGTAGAGCAGTTGCCCCCTATGTGTGATGCCCTAGCTTCAACCCTCAGTATTGCCAAAATAAACAAATAAAAAGGAGCTAGAGAGATGGCTCAGTAGTTAAAAGCACTGATGCTCTTCCAGAGGACCCAGGTTGGACTCCCAGCACCCACTTGGTGGCTCATCTGTAACTCCAGTTCCAGGGTTTATGCACCCTTCTGTCCTCTGTGGGCACCAGATATGCAGGCATACATTCAGACAAAACACCTATACTTGCAAAATTTCCATTTTAAAAAAAGTAGTGACTATAATGCGGAGAGTCCACCCTGTAGTTTTACATCCAATCAAAAATACCTTTCCTGTGGACATCCATATATGTACATGATATATCAATATACACAAATGTGTATATGAGTTCAGACCCATGGAACTAGCAGCTGCCCATGTCCATCTAACCTATCAAACTCATTCCCACTCATTTCCAAGTTAAGAGAAACTGCCTAATTTTATGGGCACTAGGATTAGAGGTCAAGAGGCCACACTTGTGTTCATGTCTAGGCCTTAGGCTAGCATTTACCATGCCCCAAGGACTCTGAACTGGCTTGGGGCCTCAACTTTAAAGGGCTGAGATGTGTCAGCCTGGGTGTGTCCATCATGGGACCTTGAATGTATACAGCAGGTATGAGCCAGTCTGTGATGAGGACATGCTGGTCACTTTCCACCTCTCTTTCCTCTTAACCCTTTCTTGAAGACAGAGACTGAGGCAGAGAGAGGAAGCCCTTAAATGTAGATAATAAATTCTTTTTTTATTTTGTTGGCAATATGAGGGATAAAACCCAGGGCCTCAGGCATGCTAGGCAGGCACTTTACCACTGAGCCACATCCTCTCTTTTCCTTTTTTCTTTTTCCCTTTTCTTTTGGGACAGCAGCTTCCAACGGTGCCGAGGTTGGCTTGAACTCACTCTAGCCCAGGCAGGCCTTCAGTGTACAATGATCCTGCCTTAGCCTGCCAACCTGCTGATATTACAGGCCTATGCCATGGACCAGGTAAATAATATATTCATTCTATTTTACTGTTGTGGAAGCTAAGACTGAAAAGGGGGAGGTCTTTCCTTAAAATCTGCCACTCAGGCCCTTGTCCACATCAGCTTTGAGCAGTAACCACTTAT